GACGAGTTCAAATGTGATTGCGGCTTCGAATGCGAAGACCGTGTTCATCTAGTTTCGGAATGTCCGTTGTACAAAAAGAAGAAGGAAGTGCACGTGACTGAGCTAGGAAAAATAGATGGGACGTACAGGGAGATGTTTGAGGCATGGAATAGAGAGGAAAGGACGGTAGCTGTACTGGGGCATAGGAGGTGGGTTGAAAAGGCGGGAAGGGATATCGTTAGGATAGACAGGCTAGGAAAGACATTTTTGAGCCACCTTTGGCAAAGTAGGAAGGAACGATTGGCCATCGGTGATCGGTCCTGTGGGAACAATGCTCCGTCTGCTCGAGGACGCGTGGTCAATGGTCTAACCGCTAAGGCGTGCAAAACATAAGAGTACGCTGCCCCCGCCCCCCCCCAGCACTTCTTCATTGCGCCAACCCCCCGCGAGCGATGACGTTGCTGGCTCGGATGCCCCGCTTTGTGTTGTGTTGTTTTGTGCTGTCTTGTGCTGTTCTGTTTGTTTGTTGTTTATAGTGTGTCTTTTTCCTTCTCTTTCCCTTCTCTCCATCTGCTCTCTCCTTTTTCTTTCGCTTATTCTTTCTCCTTTTGTTTCTTTTTCCAATCTGGGGTTATCTCGCATAGCGCGTAGAGGCGAGTGGAGTGGCCTAGACTATGTGTCGTTGACTTCTGTTGGCTTGTGGACCCTTCGGTTCCATTTTATTTTCGTATACCTTTTTTTGGGTAAGGTAGCCTGTGACCACGGGAATCGACCCCGTCAAGTGTTAGACTAGTACGGACAGAGGAAGGTACTGGGCAAAGAGAACGGAACGGTTTGTAATGTGAAAAAAACAACAATAACAACAATAAAAAATTGGTGTGTGCATGGGTTTGCTCTTTTTCGGGACTTATCTTTTCCTGGTGTTCGCAGCACATATCTCCACTATTCTCCGTTATCCAAGACTCAATACCAACAGAGAAATTCAATACCACCTGAATGACATGCAAGTTCAACAACATAAAAAACAGATCCATCATGATATTACTCAAGAGGTGGGGCACATGATGGTACTGTGACCCCCAAACTTGTGAGTATTCCCATTCTAACGAAAACTTCACTCGTCATCTTTTCTCAAGCACATACGTCAACAGTAACTTGGGTCAAGCATTCTGTCACGGCGGCGTCAACGAGCGCTAAAAACTGAGATTTATTCCATCTCGAGGTTTGAGGAGGCTAGGGTATTCCTCGGGTGCACCTAAATCATTGACGGGACCCCTCCAGGGTTCAGTCTCAACGCGTGTTTGAGGTACTCAACCACTGTTTAACACGGCCAATCTCGCAAGAGGAACTTTGACCCACTGCTAAGAGTAACCACTTGTGACCACCCAGTCTGTGAGTTGGCGCATGTGTCGGTAGATCTCGTTAGATCTTACCTAGACTCCCCTTGCTAGACCCACCTTGATTAGATTCGGGTATGGATTTAGACCCCCCTTGTTAGCCCTCTCTCGCCCCAAATGTTAGATCACCCCTGAACTAACCAAAACTAATTGAACTCTGGCCAGTTGTTGTTATGCTGAATGATAGCGTGAACTCCACCGTTACATGGCGGAGGAGTAGGGATTACTATAGTTTCGTGTTGCAATTCTCTTCGTCGTCGGATCTGCACATTGTTGTTTCACAGAAAATGGTCACAGTTTTCAAGAACGTTTGTTAGACTGTATAACAGCAATATTTGACTCCCGGCGAAAGCGTCTATTGACAGAACATGTGGGGTTGATCGTCAGAAATTGTTTCAAACATGTGGCACTTTCCGGTGAGACAGTTTTCGTTTGTGGTAAGCATAAAATTGGGGGCTTCTTCTCTCCCTCTACCTGGGCACTTGTGGGTGTTGGACGATTCTATAAAAAAAGGACAACGAAAGGGTCTATTCTACGTAGGCAGCATAGAATATTGTACAGAGATACGACTAAGGACAACGCCCTATTCGAATAAACAATCGCCCAGGAGAAACGAGTCGCATGCTCGACCGCACAAGCACCGTTTGTTGTTTGGCCCCCGGCCCTTCTCGGTCCATCACTACACAGCCCGAAGGAAGATTGGGGAGTGCGCTCTGCACGTCCTTATTCCTATTACAAGTAGTATGTTGGCACGTGTGTCGCGTGCTGCTCTTTTCTTCTCTCTCTCGTAACATGCGGTTATTTCACATGCCCTGGTTCTCCACTTTGGAGTAGTGACCATTGATTACTGCTGACATGATACGCACAAGCAAGACGTATCTTGGCACAATGAGATTGATTCACTTTTCATTTATCGTTTTGACGAAATACGTTCAAGGATCCCTCGTTCCCGCATCCAATATACACAGTTGGACGGACGGGAAAGCGGCACGGTCCTTCCTTCAACCGCCTTCTCTTGTCGTTTCCCGCACTCGGACGATCGTGCACCGCTATCTCTTTCTAGGCCGCCATGACTCCGCCAATGGCACCACGCAGCCATGGAGGGTGCCGGAATGAGTTCGATGGAAGGCAAGTGGGAACTAACGGATGCTGGTGCCTTCTTGCGCAGGGCAAGCATATCCGCAGACTTTATTTGGAGAACGGAGGACATGTTTGTGTCTCGGCCATACATATTTTGTCATCTCCATGCTACCACTTCTGCGGTCTTGTGTCGAGCGCTGGGGTATCCCGGGCTCTAGCACTGATTAATGGGTTTCAAATACAGTGGGGGTCCCCCTTTAGTGCAAATTGAAATTGCCAATGCCCGGTACAGTGCTGGTGTTTCGGCGCCCACACTGAATTGCCTGGTCATTGTCAGCGCTTTGAACGGTGCCGGTCCGTTATAGTGCCCGTGAATTTTCTGGGCACATACCGGCGGTAAACAGAGACCCCCACTGTGCTGTGTACGTGTTCAGCTTGCGATGAGTTGAAAGACGGCACATGGCAAGACTAACGGAGGCAGCCAAAATAATGTTTGCACCATCTGTATTTTGTGTACAATGAACTGGCGTAAGTTTGAACAGATAGTGCCGAAGAATGGAAACGCCTGAACGTGTTCTTGTTAGCCAAACCTTCCGACTCGCTCGAGGCTATCGATCGGTGTTGATACAATCTCAGGTTTCCTCTCATCGCCGTCCCCCTCCAAACCTGGTGCGTTCACCGCGATTATTCCGCCGCCGTCTCCGGCCTGGTTGACCGGCACCGAGAAGGCCTCCGGACGACATCAATAAGTGGAATAACAAAGGCCGGGGTTAGGACGGTTGGGTTCGACTCCCCTCCAATCCAACCTAGCAAAGACAATGCCTGGCCGACGCGTCCTTTTTATACCGCTCCGTTTGGTGCCGGCTGGGCGTCTACCATGCTGTTTCCCACCTTGTGCATTGCCGCTAGCCACAGTTATGACGGTCTTGCCGTAGGCGAGCTGCTTTGCCTTGATGCTGTGCCTCTTGTTGCAAAGAGTGCTGTAGTACATGGTAGATCGCGATTGATCGTCTTTGTGCCGGTTTCGTCTCAGCCAACGATTCCCACTCTGCTGCAAAGGCGCCAACCGATGAAATATTGTCGTGCGTTCCATTTCATTCCGTCATTTGGCAGTATCACGTCGATGTGGGGAAATGTTTCAGAGACTAAGGCTTACACCCTTTTTCGGGAACGACTGTGTTTTCAACACGAAACGAGTCGAGGTATTCCCAAAGACCGGACTTGCGGGTTACAAGTTTGGAAGGGTTCGAGCCCATGGAAGGGCCTGTCGGTTGAATCGGAATATGTTATCGTTGATTTATGGCGACCTCTTCAATCTTGTCGACCTCCCCTCTGTCTCGTTTAGTTCTTCCTATGTTGACCCGGCTTGCCCTTAGGCTTGGCGACGAACTCCACGCGATGGGGGGCCAAGTGGGTGACCGTGACGGTTGACTTGGGGTGCTTCCGCGATCAGCTGTTTCGTGGTTTGTTTAGTCTATTGTTGTGGTGGATGAAGCACAACAGCAGGAAGGGAGAGAAGGGGAGGGGATGTGCAGCTGATGGTGTTTTTTTGTGTGATTACATTCCGCTGAGCTTGGCACAATCATCATAACCCCGTGAAGGTTGACCCTCAAGAGCGTACGACCTTACTGTGGATGTTCTCGTCGCGTGGTACAAGTTGTACATGTCTGCGTCGAAGGGTAGTCCAAATACACTATGCGACAGAGAGGAAGTGTTGCAGAATGGTGTATGCGACAACGTTGAAGAAGGAGAGCTGTCGGAGTAACCCGGAAGGCAGTCCGAGTAGTGGGGTCTTGCTCCTTTCATGCAAAATCCATCTCATATCGAGGCCTGCGGCCGCGCGACTATCCTTGGAGGAAAGAACGATAAGCAGGACACCAGAAATTTCTTTATTTGATAAATGGGTCCGCGGGATTGAAAGGCCGCTCTCTGCCTACGTGGACGTGTTGGATCTATGCCATCTCTTCGTCACCAGCACAGATTATGAACTGTTATTTTTCCGTCCATACAATCAGTTGCCGCCATTATGGAGGGTTCAATTCTGACTGAAGCCGTTCGAATTTTTGCACGTGGCGACGTCGATAAGGTTCAAGTAGTCTGAGTGGGTCGAAGGCACGATAAACCTTGCTCGAAAGTGGTGTTCTCCGGTTGCTGGTGTCATCTGAAGCGGCGCCAGTCTGAGAGTGGGCACGTCATCGTGCCAACGGGATCAAGGGACCGAAACTCGCCCGAAACGTAACAAGGGGACACGAAGCACGAATGTGCATTTCCCCGACTCCGACTCCGTACCGGTTTGCAATGCTACTCAGCACTAGTTTACAGGCTGCAATCGTGATTTACATTGTACATAGCTCGGTGGTAGCTATATTGGCAGGCAGCACCAGGCAAAATTTCTTCGCGCGTCCTGCCGATTGGAAGCATGCGATTCGCAACATGATCCTGAATAAGTGGGAGGTGAAGATATGGGACCCCCGTAGGGCGTCATTTCGTTGCGGAGTTAGCCGTGATGCCCCCTCTCTTCGATCTGTTAAGAGTAGGAGTCATCGCACAAGCCCAATGGAAGACCTTGGATATCTCGACTGCTCCACAACCAAGAGTCTACCAATCGCCGAAAAGGGTAATGTTGGAAAGGCCTCGTGGAGAGCTTCCTTGCACGTATCGGTCGGTTATCGCACTCTCTTGGTTGAGGAACTGTTGGTCCTTCAAAGCCGGTCTAGGCGGCGTGCGATCACCTTCATGTCTACGAAAGTCAACCAAAAAACACATATTGGTAGCAACCTGGCAACACAGAAAGGGAAAGGTGGCACGCAGTTTCCCGATTGGTCAAAAAACCTTGCGGCGCAAGTTTCTTGCACATAACAATAGGTCCTTGGATGACGGGTGGCGTTGACCGCGGTCATCCTGTCAGGCATCTTCGGCCTGACACGTCGTCGCCTGCGGGACAGTCGGCCACGGTTGTCACGTGAGACCCGGATCTTCGAGGGAAAGGCCAACCTCGCGGGTGACGAGTGTCCACCCCATGCCTTGCTCTCAGGAGGGCCGCGTCGTCCAGGCCGTAGAACCTACAGCTATCTACCACGTCAAATGCCCTTTTCTGTTTTCTGCTCACGCTTCCTTGTCGCCCGTTCGTGCAGAGCTCTACAGATGGTAGCTACGCGTTTTTTGACTGGCGGATGATAGCTACGCGTTTTTTGACTGGCGGTGACGAGGTCTAGATGACAGGTACCACACAGTAGTGTCTTCCACGAGGACCCAAGATGCACCGGAAGCATCACCAGAGAGAGAAGGGAGTGATACATATTTATTTACCCTTTGTCAGAATCCAAGAGGGCAGCAAAGGAATAGGCCACTGGCACGCATTTCCTGATTGGTCGAAATACCCTGCCACAAAGGAGGAACGACTGGCGATACCGGGGCCCGCGGATAGGAGAGACACGCGGCTCGATCATGCTGTGCTACCACGCTGCCGTGCTCCACGCGCCCCCGCCAGTTCATCACCACAAAGAATGTGCCAACAACACAAAACAAAGCAGGTCGCCACGTGCTGTGCATCTATCGTGGTCGCGCTCGTTTTTTGGCCTCATCCACTATCCAATGAATCCCTTCCGCCACCCCGTCACTGGAAGCGGTTGGCATGAAGCATGGGGGGGAGACAGCAGACAAGAGGAACACATCAGGTGGATATGTCATGAGTGGTGTTTTGAGCCTTTGATGCATGCTGATGCTTTCCACTCACGTACTTCCAACAAATACACGCTTCCTTGGTTCTTGTGCTTGGGTGCACAGTCTCAGATGATATCGTTGTTGTATGCACATAAACGACGCAAGCATTGTGAGCTGGGGACGTACTCACCATGTAAGCCCGCTGCATGGTTGTAATCGAAACGCCACTTTCGTGATCTTGTGCATGTCGAACTGCACAGATATGTCCGCTGTCGAGATAGCCTCAGGCAAGTCTTGCTTGTTAGCAAACATCATCAATGGCACCCCGTGAAGCTCCCCTTGCTCCTTGACGGTATCTGCGATGGGAACAACACCAACCACGCAACATATACATGCTTAGCAACGGACGCCAACAGGCCAGATTAAGTGGACTACGACTTCGAAACACTGACATAACCACAAAAAACTTAACTTTTCATGACCAGCATGACGCCCACTAGGTTTCTCATATAAAAATGCTGGTCCGAGGACAGCGAAGCTACCAACTAAATCAACCATCCACGGGTTTGAATGCCGTTGAGCAACCATCCAAGGGTTTGGATGCCTTTAAGCTCTCACCGAACGCCATTCTAGCTTCCTCAAATCTCCCAACGTCAGCAGAATCCATGACGAAGATTAACCCGTGCGCGTCAGCGTAATATTTTTCCCACAGTGATCGAACACGTACCTGTAGGAGGTGATCGCGAGGTGCGACGCAAACGTGAAAAGTTTGCGACTCGTGTATAATTGTTCGATTTCAAGGACCTTGACTTCAGCCAAAAGTTACGAAGGCAAGTTGACGAAGAACAAGAATCTATAAAAGAACTGGGATTGTCACCTCCGAACGTATCTTAGACCTGGCGTGTCAGATTACCTGTCGGATAAGATCTACCTTGTGGGTATTGCCAAAGATTAGAGCAAGTGGACACGCTGAACCCGCTTGCAAGTACAGCGGGCAGGTTGGCCCGCGCTTTCACTCTGCATGCTCAACCCCTAATACCTCCATTATGACTGGTAGCGTTCGCCCCGTCCCTCTCTCATGAGTGGTTTGTACCTCACGAACTAACTGGGCCAGTAGCACAGAAACCGGAGATCCCTGTCTCACAGAACCCAAATCAAAATTAAAGAACTCGACGTCTTTCTCCCACATGAACACCAAAAGTAGGTAGTTTCGCAACGGCAGGGAGCTTGAGGGAGCATGGGCTGGCGTTGTTGTCGAAGGACTATTGCCACATCTGTTAAAATTGCAGCGTTCTGCAATAACAATACTGTCGTTCCGTGTGTCCCGTGGAGATAACTATCGCCAGCAAGACACGACCTCCGCCGTGCAAGCCTCTGCTGCACCCTAACGTGCCTTGAGTGAGTGATAATGATTTCTCCCTCCAACTTGGTCACAATGCTAATATTGCTGTCGCATATGTAATATTCCAGCCTTTCAATCGTCCATTGGAAACACACGTTCACCATCTCCCCCCGTCAACCGATGCGAGAAGAGAGGTAGATGAGTCCACGCGCATTTATCACCCGGAGTCTTACCTGTCCCCCCAAGTCCCAGAACGTTAGCTTGCAGCCCCCCACGTCCATCTTGCCAACTGCCAATTCAACACGCGAGACGCGTGCGATGAGAAAAGAACTGGGTTGGATACCAGTACACGCACGGTTCGCCCAAGGAAGAAAAACACATGTTACCACAGCCCCAACAGGATACCTTGTTAGACCAAAGATGCGCGTTTCTTTCAAGCCGGCAGAAATCAGCGAGTAGCAGGCTCTCCAAGACTGCCTTCACCTTTCACAGTCGGTTCTGTTCTCGAGTTGCATACATGCGATCAATGCAAGGCCTGCTTGTCGACAGTCGACAGTCGACACGGCTCACCGTTCAATCCCACTGTTGGCGGAATCTTGGACGGTGGTATCCCCTGAACTTTCTTGAAAATGCCCTTCATCTGCTCCAACAATGTCTGCCGGTTTCGACGAACGGCAGATGTGAGAGTTCCGCTGACACACAAAGCACATAGTACAGTGCTTGAGCAACTATTTACAAGCCACCTTCGCACCATTACGTACCGGTGGGACCAGCAACACCAGATGTACGAATACATACAAGTAGATGCGGCGGAATACTATGTCCAGCGAACACCCACACGAAGATGGACATTCAGGGATGCAAGCAAGCGATACACGACACTCACAGTTTTACCCGCGTAGTCCAGCCCCAGAATAAGGACATTGATCTCGGTCTTGGAAAACAGGTACCGAATCAAGCCGGCAATGAGCGAGAACTAGGAGACGCGGGGAAGCGGAGAACCAAGAGGGCGGCGAGAAAAACAACCGGGTTCAGGAAAAATGCGGAATAACAGCAACCATTCCTAGCCACCTAGCCATCCTTGTCTCAGACGTACTAGCTCTTCGCACCTCACCATTTAGCAAAGCGCCTCGCTGAGAGCAGCAGCTCCCTCTTGCTCGTGCTGGCTGTGCACTTCGTGTTACTCACGTGACGCTCCACCACGTGCCCAATCTGATCTCTCTGAACGCCACTCCCATGGTACTATGAAATAGCTGCGGGTTGCGGGTGCCCTCTTCTCTCCATGCAAGTGTGATTCCAAGTCATGGATTCACCGACCCTGGACCAGTTACAGCACAGGGCAGCAAAGCCGCCGCAGCAGCAGTAAGCAGCAGTCCTAAAGCCAATAGAAAAGCAGGAAAGCAGAAGATCTTTACGCAGTGTCCCCATTGTGACCGACAGGTTCCTGTGATATGGCCCGGAAAGAGCTGCCGCAAGCGCTTACCCTAGAGAAGTTTGCCGCTGGCAAAGACGGTCGTTCTAACGCCTTCAAGAAAAAGAAACAAGGTGAGACGGGCGGGAGCGATGCATGTCCAACTACAGTAGATTCCACTTGAGTGGAGTTGCGAACACATACGTAGGCTTTGTCAAATCTCACAGAAACATCTCACATCTCACTTCAAAGAGGGTTCTAGTCTTTGCTTCAACGGCATGTTATTTTAACAATCCAAGGCTGTAACGTCGTGGTGGTGCAGATAATACCGTCAGTGGCTCAGGATTGCGTACACAACACATCGACGTGTGGATTTGCATGTGACACTCTCGTTGGTTCGCCTGATGTTCTCTTGTACAGCAGGAAACACCCCGTCACGTGTGTCGCATTGCAGTGCAAGCAGTAAGCCGTAGCATTGTTCCGACCAAGAGGAGCGCTTTCTCTCGGCCCCCTTTTGTTGCTGCAGCCAAGAAGCGCAAACTGTTCGAGAAGGCCCAGCTCAAACGACAGTACGCCAAGCTCTTGAAAAAGGAAGCGGCTACGGCAAGAGGGGAACACGGGCCTGAGGCTCCGCAATCCGATGGTGCGGCTGCTGTCGGGAAAGAAAAATGTGCAGACGGTTTGGTCCATACACCCAACCGGAAGTGGAAAGAAGAGGCAGGCGGAGGAGAACTGAAGCGAAGGCTGGAACTTTCGGATTATTCCGAGAGCGGAGAGCGACAGCAAGTGGCAGAGGGGCGGAAGAAGGAGCAACGCAAGCCGGGAAAGTGGAGGAGGCCAGAGCACCGACCAGACCCCTTCAAAGCCGCTAAGGTGAATGGTCATTGTGAACGTCATCCGATCGTGTGTCACGAAGTTGGAAAATACTACTTTTTTCATATGTAGCCCCCCCCCTCCAAATCTCCTCCAAATCTCCCCCAAATCTCCCCCAAATGTCGAGGTGAGCTTGGCCTCAACCCTCGGGGGCACGATCTCGTGTGCTCTCATTTGGTCGGGCACTCCAAGGCGTTACGACAAGGAAATCGTTTGGGGGCTCACCCAAGACTTACGCTCAGCACAGTGCTCTGCTCGTGGGCCTTGTGCAGTACACCACAGCTGTCTGGAGCCGGTTTTAGAAGAAATTAGCATTTTCCAACAGGCGGAAGCACAACTTCTACAAAACGAACTTGCCGCATAATCCCAGTATGTTTTTTTTTGTTTGTTGCTTGTTTTTCTCCCTTCATTGGATTCTGTCGTCTTCCCCTCTGGCCCTTTCTTCCACTTCTACCGGCTAGACGACCCAACCGGGGTCACATGGGAGGGGAGGGGTGGGATCCCCTCCTGCGGTTCCTCCCTGAGATATTTTTATCGCGAGAAGGGTACAGCAACCCCTTCCCTCGCGACTTATGAAGTCGATCAAGTTTATTAACAACGAGCTTTGCAGCGCGTCGCTTCCAACGGAGACCAGGATTTAATTAGCTAGCAAAAACTCACTCTGTCGGGACTCGAACCCATGACCTGGCCCTTAGCAGGCTACGAGGCTACCCACTAGACCACCGGGGCGACCGGTTGTGTGGGCCGAGGAAATAACGTAGCCACTCAGCTAGAAATGTTCCTGGCATGTAGGTATGGGATAGGGTTTTCCGAGGTTGCACAATTTTGACTCGCTTCCCGAGGATCACCAGAGACATGATCGCTGCGGCTTGGGTTACTCCAAGCGAATAACGGCGGTAGCGGAATCAGCGAGACCAGCGCACCGCGTAGAAAAAATCCCTGATTCATCGAAAGGGAGCTCATACATATCGAGCTTGTTGGTGCAGCTCCTCCCAGTTACTCACCGATGGCTCTGCCTCATTTGGTGCACTAAGGCTTAATTATATTGGATCGCAACTGCTGCGGCAGGTGCTTCAAAACTACTGCCGTTTCTCTGGGATTTGTTGTCTAGGGAGATGTGCTTGCATGTGTTTCTCAAGGACATAAAGGTATTTGTCAACGTGATGTTTTAAAGCAAGGGTGAAGATGAGTGTGAGGGCACTTCTGTTGTAGTGAAGGCCATGACGATCAGCCACTTCATTGCTCTTGCCACGAAACATCGTCAGAAAGCCACTCACGTGCATTCTCGCCGCCTGAAAACTGGTATTGAGAAGAACGTTTTGATCCAAGTTAGGTGCGAACGGAGAGCGAGAGCAGGTACCACAAGATAGACTAATGATCTGACCCTCGAAACGTTAACCACGGACTTGTCGTATTTCATGTCCTTGAGTACGTCATGCTCGGCGGGCTTACTATCGTATCTCTGAGGAGTTCTAATCCTTCACCTACCAGTGTGCGTCTGCTACTGCTATTAATAATACATGCGCAAGTCATCTGTAGATGAAAAGCAACAAGAGAGTACAGTAGTACGCCGTGATGCTTTGCTGTTGTGACGTGCTTTTGTCTGCCCCCCGCAGATCCATTACCTGGGACACTGATACAAGGCAACACTAGCGGCAGTTGCGATTTTTGTTCGCGTACACCTGATGAACGGCACCGTGTTTTTACGTTTTTACCGTGGATCACCCGCAGAGTTCTTGTGTGTGGTTTTGGTTTTTCTTTGGTGTGGGTTGGACCCACACACTCGGGGGGAGCCGGTTCATTTGGACACGCCAACGGGTGACACCGGGGCCGTTGTCGTCCACCTACTGAGCCACCTACTGAGTGGTGTGCACGAATGTTTCATCTCGCGAAGGATTCAGCCAGCCCCCTTCGTCCAACGCCAAGTCGAATATGTAGTACGTAGCCATGAGATGTTAGGCTGAGCTCAGTTCAATGTAAAGCTTTGAGGCGAGCCGGCGGTGAAATGTGTTCCCGTGGCTCAAAAGAGTTCGGAAGTTGCATTAGTTGACGACGTTTGGAAACTCCCTTTCGAGAGATTCGCAAGCATACGCTTACGTTCATGGTGCGGCCGTCTACTCGTGCCCCTTCGTAGGCGACAGCTGACCAACGGAGGCAGGAGGCAGATGAAAAGCAGCGGAAGAGAGAGATGACAGTTGCGGAGAAGGAAAGCCGAGCCAAGAAAAGGAGAAAGCAACACGCGTTGTTGTCTAAACGTACAAGAGGGGGCCAACCGGTGATGAGAAACACCATGCAGCACCTCTTGGAGAAGATTCAATCACAGCGATGACATTTGAGCAGCTGTCGAGTACATCGGTTCCCAGGACACGCTTGTAATTTTTGAAGTTTTCTTAGCATCAATATAGCGAGTAGGTCATCGAAAGAATTTCAGAGCGGGACAGGCGTGATCACTATCCAAGTAGAACCAGCCGGAGGGCAATAGGCTATGTTACGGTGGCACGGCGCGATTTGATGCAAGAAGGTCGGTCGCAGAAGCCGTTGATGTATAGTTAGGCGTACTTAACAACTTTGTCGAAGATATGGTTGACACACAAAGGTTTAAGAAAGTTGTTTCTTTGCGTCCCAGCTAAATAAACCCCTGACCCAATACACCAACCGGTTGGTGTGGTCCAATGGATGGTGGTCATAATGATAACACCGTTGATAGGTGCTAGGTTGGCAGAGTTGGGTACGTGCCGAGAGAGGGCTGGTGTCTGTGAGAAACGTATTCCTACATGGAGACCACCAACTGCCACCAGTTTGATTGACCAGGCGGTAGGCACTACGGATAGGTGGCTGCAGGTGCTTTCCGTGGCACAACGGATGCCTAAACAACCCAAAGCTCTCACCCTCCCTCGGGTTTATATAACCTTCTAAAAAAACATTTCCGTCAAGTTGCACCTAGACTTGCTGCAACTGTCCATGCAATTGGATGAAGTACCAACAGTATACTAATGCCAAGTCCGACAAACTTGCCGACATTTTGAACAGCCGGCGAAAACATATTCTAATGGGCCTATGATGTTCGCGGTGTACCGCGATCTACTATTTTCGGTACAACCGTTGTTCGCATTCTGTGTGGGGCTCGCAATTTTGAGACCCGATTTCCCTGGCCTGCAACAATAATGAAGGGACACGACATGATTGTCGTATACGGCATCAGACACAGCAGTAGCTATGCTCTGATCCTGGCACATTCTACAAGCTCGCAGCATCGTACGTTTAATTATCTTAGGCAACGATAGCGTCGAGCTTGCCAATGGCCTCGTACGCCAAGAGCTCGTCAAGTAGAACTTGGAAATCCGCGTCGCAGATCACAGCCAAGTCCTAGTGAAGGAGAGCATCACACACGGCACGGCGGGGGTTCGAGACATCAGTACATGCACGCTCGCCGACGCACCATGTAAGCGCAGATCGAGCAACCGCCAAGAAGGACGAGGAAACTCTGAAGGGGGGTTAGAGCGCCCCTATGTACGTCTCTCTTCACTAGAAAATGCCAAAATCTTATGCGCTGCATCTGAGGCAGCATCTGCAGTGATTCTAACGAAGCCAAATCTAAAACAACACAAGCCACCCGAATACACCCAAGTCAAGCATGTCATCATCATTTGGCATTGCAACTTGGCGAAAGCACTTGCCTTACGCCATAGGTCACCACAACCGCGCACGTGTATAACCGAGATCTGAACCGCGAAAGAGTACTTCCGCGGATTACGTTTATTGTACTTGGGCAGCGGCACATCAATCTTCTTTGAAATGCTGTAGCATGAATTTTATGTTTCGTTTGCGTGCTCGCATATTTAACGTTCTGGGTGGAAACCGTGGAGCAATCAATCCCTATGCATGAGTGGTACAGACTGTTCATCGGCGAAGGGAACGGGGGTTCATCTGCTGCAAGAATACGTTTACCCCTACACGGTAGATAACGCTAGGACGACCAGGTGAATTATTACCACACAACGACACGTTCGACACGTGCAGATAAGACCTCCACACGGGTTACCTTACCTTCTCGGAAACCATGCCTCCGTCGCCTTCAGACATTACAGCGTTGTTGAAAACGCGGATTGCAGAGTTCATGCGAGCACGGTCCATGGCGTTACGGACCTGTGGAAGGAACCGCCGCACACAACACGAACGCGTTAGTTGGTACTTCAAGAGGACGCGCGCTGCAAGGTGCCAAATCGACATGTCATGAACGACAAAGTACGTCAAACACCTTAGCTTTTCTCTAGGAAAACCTTCACCACAGGTACAACTCAAGACGTGCAACCCTAAGCCTCTCAGCGTGCTCAGCACTCACAGTTCGCGCGTTGGAGAAGAAAGGGAACTTCATGCGGGTCTCGATGTATTCCTTGAAAACCGCGAGGGCCCTGTGTGAGAACGCGGGCGAATCAATTCGGACAGCAACGAGAGTTCAGGTACATGCCGAGGTAAAAGTGGGGAGAAGTAAAAAATACAAGGGCGCTTCGCGGTCGCCGTCTCGCACAGGCTGTATGGCGATGTCACGTGTCTGCGGGTCTGAAAAATGACATTCTGACATGGAGACCACCATGTTCGACCCAGTCACCCAGTCGTAGTAAGCACTACTGCTGTATTGAGGTGGAGTTTCCAGACTGCTCTGCGCACGACACCAGGCGCAACCCACCCCGCCTGTCGTCGGGATCGAAAGGGAAACGCACCACAGCAGTTGGGCATGCGGAGACTTGGTTGCTTGGTTGTCGGGTGTGGCAAGGGTGTGAATACTGTAGCCAGCGCACAAAAAAGTACCACGCCACTCTCTTAGCAATGTAATTAATGTGGCCTGGACTGATTGGGCGAGACGTCATAGATCTCGGAGACGCGACTTCGGCCCTCACTAGCGCTGCGCGACGTCCGCTACGAGAGCGCGCGGCACAGCGGGAGGGCCCTCGCAATTCAGAGCTATCGGTACATGTACGTCTCGCCGCGAGGCGAGGTCCAGGGGCTGAGAACCGCAAAAAACAGCCCTAGACGCACGCGAGCATCAAGATTGCAAATGCTGAAAGCTTGTGAACCATCAATCCGCAGGAAGTTCGTCTATAATAGAGGTCAATATGGATTTCCGTGATGACGCACTATTTCATTATGTTCCGAGGAACGCCCTGGTACAAACAACTCGAAACGAAAAAGACCTACGAAACACACTCTTGACTCAAGGCCCCACTAAGTTGCCGTCCACTGCCACGAGAACAAGTAATGGGCACCATTGAGGCGACATGACACGGTTGATACTTCGCGCAAGACAAGACACCGAATACGCAAGGAACAGAACACTTACGCGTCGTCCATGAAGTACTGGAGGTCCCTGGCCATCACCATCGCGATCTCTACCAGCTCGTCGACCAAATAGTTGGGGAAGTCGATGTGGTTTCCGATACGGCTCGACATACCCGGGATGTAGGAGAAGAAGCGGTCCATGCGGTCCTTGTATCTGCAATGTCAATCAAGGCAAAGGGACACGTTTGAAACACCAACATTGAACCTGAACACCATGCGCATCGCCTGCTCTCTTAAGGTGGAATGCTACACAAACAGCTACGCAGGACTCATGTGCTGAAAGGGCCGGGATCTGGCCATATGCCTGCATCAACTTTGCCATACTCAGAATCTCGTGCAATCCCAAAAAGACGATGAGCGCACCCGGCGAGAGTGACGATGAGGTCGTCCTTCTGCTCCTCCATGACGTTGAGGAGGATCTCGATCGACTCCTGACCGTAGTCTTTGTCGTTCGCCGCGTTGTACAGGTAGTACGCCTCGTCGACCAGCAGAATACCTCCGAATGCCTTCTTGATCATTTCCTGCAGGAAGGGAATTGGTGAGAACGGATTCAGGAAAACTGGCTTGTCATCGAGATTTTAAGGCATGTCCTGTATTTTACACCTGGCACGATGTCATCGAGGTGGAGCGCTAGCAAATACACGAGACCGCTGTAAACAGGACGGACGGTGATACAAACAAACCAGCAATGGCAATAAGCAGTCCATCTGGCAAGATATCGGCACGGACCTTGGTCTTGGGGGCGGTGTGGCCAACGTACTGGCCCACCAGGTCGTCCCTCGTTGCCACCACGACGTGCCCCTGTCGGCAGTAGCCCATACGCTGCAAGATTTGCCCCATGCGAAGGGCAACGGTGGTCTTACCCGTGCCGGGGGCGCCCGTGAAGCACATGTGGAGGGAAGGCACGGACGTGTCGAAGCCCAGCTTGCCGCGCATCTATGACGAATAGAGAAAACGAGGCAGAGAGCAGAGCGAATCGCCAGCATTAGTTGCAAAGATGCGGAGCTACAGGAGGCTCAGAAGTGTCCATCCGCTGGACGTGTTGACAACGTCGGCTGGTTCATCTTGGGCTCCAAGCCAGCAGTGTCAGCAATACAACAATCGGTAGATGCTGACCGCAGTTCTCGACCGCGCACGGATCTACCGTCGGCAAGACTCTTCGGAACATTTTCACTATTTGTAATGCGGGCCGGGCTTCTGAACTCCGAGGAATTCGTATGAACACACCAAACGGCTTCCAGTGAGTGACACTGTTCTACTGCTGTAGTACGCCGCAGACTAACACGCATAACTAGCAAACAACAACCTGCAGGGTGCTCGCACTTCCAACATGTACGTTAGCAGTTGCCCCGCGCAACAACCTCGAGTAGTCCCCACATCCGTCAGTACACCCAGTTGTTGGCTGTCGGGTGCGAGAAGCTGATAGCATCGGGGATGCCTCGACCGCAGCATCATCAAAAGAACCCAAGAGGGACGCCACCATGGATTACAAGAGTCTGCAGCAAATACTATTCTCACCTTGTCAAGCACCAGCAGGGCGGCGATTTGGCGCACTCTCAGCTTAACGGGAATCAGCCCCACAAGGTCCGAGTCCAGCTTCTCGAGGATGTCCCGCACGCCCTCCTTGAACATGAACTCTTCCACGGTACCCACCTGCAGCGCCGCCGGGGAATATAAAGATCGTGGGGTATCATTTCCGCATATTTGGCCTGCCTATGTCGTCCAACATACAACTCGCACGCACGCGATGTAAAGCGGGCGTGATTGCTGTATTCCGCAAGAGATTCCTCTGCGCTGCTGGCACTCCTAAATGTCTCATGGGCTTCAGTTCATTGACAAGGATTTGCCTGAATTTCCTCACCACCACCTAAACGGGCGAACAAGCCACGCTCCGACAGCTGTAGGTACTTTTGCATCCTCGAATCGTGCATCAACTCCCAACTGCTGTGAAAACCATGCCCTCGCCTCTGTGTTGTCGGGCATGTCCTCCATGAACTTAATTTTGGCCATCCTCGCTTCTCGGCGGATCTCGCCCGCCCTCGCCCTCTGGTCTGCCGCCTCCTCGGCCAAGCGAGCCTCCACATCCGCAGCCTGGAGAAAGCAAACCAATCTTTGTCGTGTCAGACAAGTCCAACAGAATATGTATCATACCAACGCTTTGTTTCCCACATGGTCCTCGTCGTTGAGAACGGTGGGCCTTGGCATATTGCGCGGGCACCAAGTTTGGACGCGACTTCGCTCTATTGAGAGGACAGCATCGAGAGCTACTCGTACGTGCCGCCGTTGTACGTAACACCTTGCTGTACGAAAGCGCAACAAAAGGTTGAAATTCAACACAACATTTTATGAAACTCTGGAAATAATTAGTACGAAGACTACTATTGTGCGAGTGATGCAACCCGCCGTGCCTTCTAGATTCGCTCTACTGCTGTTCCGCAACCAAGACGGTGCGAAATCCGGGCGATAGGTCTGCTATCGACGAGATCGACATCTTTCCCAACTCGTTCTTTTCGGCAGCCATGCCCTCTCGATTGTGGCGCAATCGAGCTATGAATGCCTGTCTAGGAGGGGGATGCGACGACCTTGGGGTTAGGTTTGCTCGCACACATCCGACGAGTGAACCAACTTTCCTGCGTACGCACACTGATCGTCATGGTTTCGTATGCAAAACGAGTAGTCCTGTTCGAACTTGCAGTTGATTTTAGGGGATGGTGTGCAGTGCGATGTTTTTCGGGGGCATCAAGAGCCTGCAGAACCACCGCACCTCACACCAGGAGCAGGCCCACATACATTTTCGTTCTCAGCACGGCTGCGGGACTGATGGCGACGACGGACGGGTCAAAGATGCAAACCCCAAACGTCACCCCGAGAGGAAGTACATACCACCACGTGCATGTACACACATCTTTTTTTCCACACCTCTAGCGCTTCGGACAGTTTCCGGTAGTTTTTCGCGTTCTTCTCGTCGGTATACTTCTCCGGATTGTACTGGAGACCCTTGCCCGTCCCGGTCCCGACCGTGGGCTGCGCCATCGAGAGCGCGCTGCGGCTTGATGCGCCCGTTGCTGGACGAGTGAAAACCGGGATCTGGAACGCGGCCGTTCCCGTAGCTCCGCACATGGCGAGCGCGATCATCGCTGCTGCCTTCATAATTAGATGGAGGGATGTGTAGCAAACCTTCCTGTTCCTACGCGTAAGAATTCCGTCGTGCGTAAGAGAGGTCGCCGCTCTGGCAAGCTGCAGAGAACAAGAACAGTGGGGGGTCTCTAGCGTATGTGTTGTCCACAGCGTTCATGACGGCGACAAGTCTGTCAGAGGAAATCTGCGCACGAAAAGTATAAGCCCTCCATATCTCTACGTAGCAATTCAATGCTCTTTCAGCGTTTGGCTCTCCTGCCTGGGCTCACACGATCGCACGCTCGGATAGCAGCAGTTGAACCACCCACCCATCAAGGACCGGAGACACAGCTGTTCGTGTGTGTCAGTGTGTGGCGCAATTCACCATGTTCGGTACGGGAGGAGGATTCGGGACAGGTGGAGGGTTTGTGCCAACACCAGCCTTCGGTGAAAGGGAAACAACGCCCGTGCTCGGAGCAGCAGAGACGCCAGGAGGGCAAGGGTCCACAGCCCAGCCGTTTGGACAACAGGCCTCTGGAGCCACCGCAGCTCCACCGCCTAACCCTGGCAAGATTGCGACTGCTGCTCCATCTGCAGGAGATTGCTACTACTTCTTACAAAGCACTTGCACCAAGGTTTGTTCATTTCTCTTCTTACTACAGCAGTGTAGCACCGAAGCTGGCAGAGATATGCCCAAGCTGGCAGAGTATTAGGAGAAACAAATATACACACAGAAAGACTATGGAGCAGACAAACCCCACTCCTGCTGTACCCGCACAGAGAGGTTCATCAAACATGGTTCCGTCAAAGAACAAACTACCGTTTTGCACTCGATTACTGCACCAAACAATGGAATACGCACCTCACTGTTTTGCACGCACCCGAAGCCATGAAAGCGAACTGATTTTGAACCCCGAGGCTTTGTTCTAATGTTTCAGTTGCTTCCAGCAACCAACCTTCGAGTTCACACCCTCAGCACCCTTGGAAAGCAGTCACCGACAACCTAAATGTCCCCTTGACCAATGCAGCGTGATGCTGCCAGCATGCTTTGGTTGTTTCGTCTTCACAGGCATCAAACCTGAAGAGGGCGCCCAGCGCCACGCGTGCAGACTTGTTGAGCAATTCTCGTAACGCCTGGGTTTGGCGTTTCCACTATCGTAGGCAACATTACTTCAGCTGACAATAGGCTCACCTCCTATACACAGGGATCAAACAAAAATAATTATTAAGGAGAAATAAAACACGCACAGAAAGACTACCCATTCGAGATATAACCACAGTCGAACGGGATGTGGTGGACTCTTTTCAGTAAGTTATATTATATTCGCGCGATGCGCGAAAAAAAGGGGCGTAGAGAGACATCAACGCAAGCGTAGATAGATATGGATGGAGCCTACCCCACCACGGAGGTCACCAGTGCACACGCTCACACCTCGCCCGACACCATCAGTCAATCAGGGGATGACTGAGAGCGCTGTTTAGCGCTCGTAGCGATTCATCAGCTACATGTAGCTGCTGTGCCAGCAGCAGCTGCTGTTGCTGCTACCGTGGAGGGTGGGTGTGAACTTGGTTTCCTCGCTTTCGCCGCTAGCAGCGGGCACCGGGCTCTAAAAATCGCCCCCGATGCCTCCTACGATGTGTATATTTCGCCGCCCTTCGCCCACAGCGTTGTGTACGTCTCACTCGTCTCTTTTTCGGGGGTGCTTCTATGGTGGAAGCAAAAATCGGCCTGCAGACGAAGACAGACCGCAGACAGATGTGACTTATGCATATGTGCACTCGCATGCTCTCTCGCTTACGCTGCTAGCAGCAGGCCTCGGGGTCTAAAAATAGCTCCAACGCCAGCCATGATGTGTGCCTTTGGCCGGCCTTGGCGTACAGCAGTGTGTACGTCTCGTTGTCTCTGTTGTGGGGATGCGTCTGTGTGAGAACCTCGAAAGATCGGTAGGTTCAGTACGATGCGGACGGACCGCAGATTGACTTGCGTCGTCACTCGCTCGTGCTGACAGCAGGCAACGGGCTGTAAGAGTCACATCCAACGCCCCCTATGATGTGTGCCTTGGCTGCCCTTGGCCTACAGCAATCCGTATGCTGCTGTGCTGGTTATCTTGTATGTTGTCTGCGTGGTGTGTGTGGTGCTGCTGTGCAACATGATTTCGGGGATTCTCCCGAGAGCGTTGTGCCCATTGCCCAATTATCTGCCCCTGTCTTACAAATGTCTTTCAAAATCGACGTTTGATGGTGGGAGATGGATACTACCCGGCTCTACCCCTCTAAAACTTCGAGAATTGTTGGAAGGTCTTCCATGTCTCACAAAAGAATTCCCCGATGTATGGGTGCTCTGCCTCACAATACAATACTTAGCGAGATGTAGTGGAAATTACGAAATTCCGTACTGCAAGCAATAGTGGAAAATGGAAACCCACCAAATTCAGGCATTTCGGGAATTTTTATTTTCACAGAAGAGATCTTACGCATATGTACTAACAAAGCCTTCTCCCCTTCTCTGAAGCTCCGATTCCGAAGGCACTCCCAGATGAAGCATTAAACCGCAAGAAGACTTGACCAGGTGTTTCCTGGATTGCGTTCGTGAACAAGAACTGGCACAGGATACCTGGGCAATACTTGTAGCACAGAAAATTGGTCTCCATCGCCGTGTTGCGCTTGAAAAGCAAAGGAAAATAATGCCCACCCGCGGCAGTTCGCTTTTATGAGACGTTCCCACTTGTCACTGGTATCGGAAATGAACCGCTGAATCCAAGCAACCAACGATCCGGGCCCGGTTACGGCGCGAAAGGCTCACCGCGAAGGCACGGGTACGCTGCCTAGTTCAGCTCCAGGTCGAGGCCCAAATGCTGTTAAGGTTTCAAGGCAGACCATATTTCAATGACGAATGGTTGTTACGCACCCGGAGCCCGCCCAGGAAAGGCCAGGTGCTATAGAGGTCTAATGGCAACCTTTTGTCCGTCCTGTTTTATTCGCCAACTCTCGTCGCCGCTCAGGGTAACAATTGCCTTTTTCGACACAGCGAAGCCGCTAGAGCATCCGGCATCGTGTGTCGATTTTGGCAAAATGGCTTCTGCAAGGATGACGTCAACTGCCCTTTCCTACACCCGGTAAGCGGGGTGAGTACAGGGATAGCTTGGCATCTCACATAGTTGATGTGTCGGTTTGGAAATTAGTTCGCTTCAATGTACGCCGCGGCTGTTGCTTGGAGTTTGAAGCAGTCGCTCATGCATTTGTCACTGGTACCTGATTTCCGTACACGAAGACTCAGCTCGCAATCATCATTCCGAAGCTAGAAATGTTTCATGTCGTCTTTGTTGGGGGTTGCAGAAAGGGTTTTGAATGATTCAAGGAAGTTTATTTACCCACCTAACGTCTCGTTGGATGTGGTGAGTCCACATGAACAGCTTGTTTGCTCGTCGCTTTGAGCTCTGGGTACACATCTTGCGACCAATAGGAAGAGCATCGGGGAGTCAACGAAGTTTTTTTTTTTTTTCTCCCATCATTGGACTCTGTCGTCTGCCCCTCTGGCCCCTATCCTCCACTTCTACTAGCTAGACGACCCAACCGGGGTCACATAGGAGGGGGGGGTTGGACCCCCTCCTGCGGTTCATGCCTGAGGTATTTTTATCGCGAGAAGGGTACAGCAATCCCTTCCCTCGCGACTTACGAAGTCGATTATGGTTTACTAACAAACGANACTCTCTCTGCCGGGACTCGAACCCATGACCTGGCCCTTAGCAGGCTGCGAGGCTACCCACTAGACCACCGGGGCGACCAAGTGTGAACATGCGATTGCAGCCTGGTGCGACGTACAATGGCACGCCCCCTACTGCAGTGCACCTTGATCATGTGGCCTTCCTTCCTCCGTGACGCAGGTTAGAGGACAAGGGATGGGCGGAGGCCGTGGCGGTCGATTCGGAGGTGGGCGTGGAATGGCTACAGGCCGTGGCGGCTTTGGTGGAGGTCGTGGGGGGCCGCGTTCACAGGGTTGGGAGAACGTGGATCGCAGCAAGCAAACGTGCGTGTTTTTTGTGCAAGGAAAGTGCACGAAGGGCGATGCTTGCCCATTTAGCCATGCCATCCCTTCGGAAGGAGGCGTCAGCCAAGCAGCCGAGGGTAACCACCCGCCGCAGCGTGCAGCGGTACCCGAGGGGCGACCCCAACCACCTACCATGGATTCCTCTCCCGCACCCGTGCCGGCTACTCGAAACGATAGTGTGCCGCAAACCAAAACTAGTGCATCGGAGGCTTCGCGCGGAGAAGAGACAAAGGCAATGGGGGTTCCTGGGCAGAGCTCAGCTTCAGTGCGTGTCTCAGGTGCGGGGCGAGAGGAGGCACGGTCGTTTTCTCGGCGCGTCGGTGCGTTCGGTGACGGAGCTTCCAAGGCGGACCCGGCCTTAGCGGTGGCGAGTGCCGGTAAGACATACGTGACTGCCCGAAATGGTCAAGCTCGTGCTACTGCTTCATCGGATCAGCGCCAAGAAGCACCGGGGATAATCGTTCTGCCTGATGGTGGTCTTGTCACACGCAAGAGAGCGGCAGAGCTGCAGCTGCGGAAGGACGAACGTGGAGACGCGGAAGCCAGAAATGTGCGGCAACGAGACGGTCGACAGCAGGGCCGAGCACAAGAACGCAGGCCTACGTCGGGTAGCAGAGGTGTGCTACCCGTCGGTCGTGTACCGATCTTGGACCGTTTGGGCCCAGTGACACAGGCATCGGACACGGCACCCACGACGGAAAGGATCGTTGCCCCTGCCAGGATTCGACGCGAAGCCCCTACTCTGCAAGCCCGGAAGGGAGAAGAGCCGCGCCCGCACGTCACGCCGGTCGAACGCCCAGGTTTGCGGCCGTCTTCGTCATCATCGCTTCCAAGGTCTCGGGTAATGGCTTCGGCGCTGCCCACGCGCCGCACGGGGGGCGGGCGGGGTGCCGACGGCGATTCCACTTCCGCGATCGCTAGACCGGCAGTATTGGCACAACGTAAATCGAGCTTACTGGATTTCAAAATTCCTACTCTAGATGAAATTAAGAGTCGAAAGGCTAAAGCGGAGGTGGCAACGCCGAGGGTAGCAACGAAAAGGGACCAAGCGCTCTCTGCTAGTCGTGGGGAAAAGCGTATGACAGCAACGCCAGCTCCGCTAGCTGCTATTGAAGAAGCGCCTGCGTTGCCCAACTCTGTGGTATCAACCACTGTAGGAGTGCAGCCCTCTTTGCCATTACCGGCACCAGCACCGACACCGACGGTGCAGAGTGATCCCCCGCAGTTGGACGCGGAGGATATGGACGAGTTTAGTGAGTGGCTGTAGACAGTTGTGATGAGGTTGAGTATTAGTTTGTTACCGCGTTGTTTTCTGGGTTGAGTACCGGTGGGTCTGGGTTTTCGAAAGGTAGGTGTGTTGCGTGCCATGGCCGATTCCTGCTCGTCGGTACGCGCTATTGCGTCACGGGCTGGGTATAAATACTGTGTCGAACTTTCCGGCAAATGCAGCATGACAGGGGGTATGAGGTATGAACAGAGATGATGCGAGAATCGTAGTCGGCATTGGAGCCTCGGCGGCACCAGGGCATGTTTCGGTTGGGGCATGTATATCAACCACCTTCATCCCGGCTTCGCTCGACAGAGCAATTGGTCATTAGTGCCTTGCTCTCGGTTACCAACTTACATGTCCGATGTGGGAATCAAGTTGAGTTGCCTTGGCTATGGGTGAACCGAGGTAGGCCGTGTCAACCTTGTACCGGAACGTCACCGTTCGAATAAGAAGAGGAGTTTTGAGCTCGAGTGCGCGTGCGAGAAGCCCGCATAGGTCACCTTCGTCATGAGGGCCCAAGCAACATGTTGGGGCAAAAAAAGCGTCGTTGACGTTAGCGTTTTGGCGGTTTGGTCTAGCGCAGCTGCACCCGCGAGGCGTATATACGCCAGGGCTCGCGAGCGCGAAGCGTGCTCCAGTAGCTAGCAGCCACCTAGGCCTAACCCACAAAAACCTAGCTTGGGGTGTGGGTTAGGTTTAGGGTCAGGGGCGGGTTAGACCAACAACAGCGAAGCCTAACGCCGTGGAGCCTGGGGGCTGGACACCTGTTAGTGGCGTTGGTTTCGTGTCTACCCCCAACCACAACCCAAAAACTGTTTAACTCCAGCACTGGCATATACATATGGGGGTCCAGGTGCACCAAGAGAGCTTGTTTGAACCTAGTCCTATGATGGAGAGTCTCGGGGAATCCACTCGGAACCTCTACAACGCCGAAAACATGCCGTCTGCCAATTCTCAACCTCTTTTACTCTCGAGTGCTGTTGAACAGACCTTGGCCAACAATGCCTGATAGCACCCCTCCTCGACAATTACGACCCCGTGAACACGCGATCCACACACCTCCCTATTTACACTGCTTACCGTCCTCAAAGTTCACTGGAAAGTTCGCGAGAAGGACACAAGTTCTGAATGGCTAAGATAAAATGATCACAAGGCTCCCAACGGGCACAAGGTGGAAACCACCTTTACATCGCCGGAACCACGCACTTTCCCACTCTCTTCGTTCGATGTTATACTTTCGATTCTAGCTCGGGCACGGCGTCGAAAAGATCAGCGACCAAGCCGTAGTCAGCCGCCTGGAATATGGGGGCCTCCTTGTCCTTGTTGATGGCCACGATGCATTTGCTGTCTTTCATGCCCGACAAGTGCTGGATTGCCCCAGAAATACCAACCCCAATGTACAGTTCGGGTGCCACCACCTTGCCTGTTTGGCCCACCTGTTAAAATTTTATCGAGCAAGCGAAGAATGTCGCAGTCAAAGCCTACCCTACCTCTTGTGCAGTCTAAAAACCAACTGTGTACATCAACAGTTGTTCGAGCAACCATGATCGGCAGGTTGACACAAGCGCCTCCAATATAAAACATAGCTTCTGGAGTGCATTATTGGCGAATGAGTACTCCGGATCAAAGCACTGCAAGGTCGACCTGTGTGAAACGCCAGATGTTACGCACAACTCGGAGGCAGTAGTTCAGAGTATGCTCACAGAAGTATCTGCATCCGGCTTCGGTAAAGCAAGATTGAGCCCCTCCTTCGTGTAGAACGGCTCGCGCTAATAAGATCATCAGCACACAAACGCATCAGCACTCGACGAACACATGTGTGAAGTTTCTGGAGCATTCCCAGAAACGACGATGTTTTAAAACAACCATGCTAAGCGCGCACATAAGAGTACTCTAGACTTCTACGATTATTCCGTACACACACGTCGATTTTCGCCAGGGTTCATGCATACCCTACAAAATCTCTTGCCTGCAGTTCGTTTGCCACAAAGCCAGCATCAACAGCCGCTCTCGAGGCTCCTACTGCTCCTCCAAGTTTGTCTGCTAACTTCTCAAGGATTTTGAAGTTCTCGCCGTCCTTCAATCCACGGCCGCCAGCCACAACCACCCTCGCCGTTGTAAGGTCCGGTCGGTCCCCTCCGCTTTTGGATTCAGACACGAACGACGCTAGACCAGCGTCGGCGCCACTCTCAGGGGGCGCTGTTGACTCTACTGATGCGGTGCCTCCAGTGGCCTCCGCTTTCTCGAACGAGGTAGGTCGGACAGTCAGAATTTTCAAAGCACCCGCTGCACGTACTGTCGCAACAGCATTCCCGGCGTACATCGGTCGCACAAACGTCTCCTCATCGACTACTTTAAGGATATCCGTCACGGGGGCACAGTCAAGCTCGGCTCCTAACCGACCCACGAAGTTTTTTCCGGCCATGCTGGAAACAGCCAGGATGTGAGAAAAAGCCCCATTTGCCTGCTTCGTACAAGCGAACACGACCAGAAGAGTCGTGGGATGTGAATTAGGATAATCGCAACCAAATCTATGGCGTACCATGGTGTATATGTACAGAATGAATGCCTGTTCGGCGGTTGTTCACACAGGTCGCCCCGGTGGTCTAGTGGCACCCTCGTAATCCGCCAGTTGCAGATGTAGTGAGTTCGAATCCCCATGGGGTGAAAAATTTAGGACATGTGCGGGTGAAAGCGAAATATAGCCGACAAGCTCTCGTGAGTACAATTCTTCGACGTTAACACCGTCGACGAGGGAAAGGAACGGCTGGGCCCTTCTTGCGATAAAAATTAAATTCAGCACGCACCGCAGGAGGAAGGTGGGGCATCGAAAGAAACAAAAAGAAGAAAAAAAAGCCCTGGTGTTTACCCCCTCCTGTGTGACCCTGGATGGTTGTAGTTGTACGAAGAAATACACTGAATAGTGTAGTACTCTACATATACTCCACATACCCTGAAAAGTGTAGTACACGTCTCACCACGAAAAATGTGGGGACTGTCGCCATAATAAATAGGACCAAAACACACAAACACACACACACACAGCATGGCCACCGCTCGGAACAACTACGCCAATGGTAATTCCAAATATATTTCAAATATTCCTTTCCGCTTTTGCTCCTCTTTTTCAGCTACTTGTATTCTAGCAGCACGAGTCCTTACGGTCGGCTCTCATCAAATAACAAAATTGCGGCGGGCCTGTCTCCATTGTTCGAAAAACGGCGATGTACCTACAAGTCGTACACTTTTCTTTTTCTCTTGACGTTGCTCTACAATTTAAACAGTAGTGTCACAATCTCGACCATCCGAAAAATTTGAAGGTACTGCTGTACTCCTTGAGAGCAAGTTGGTGGTGGTGTGAGAGAACAACAGCAGTTGCCTACTGCTGTATGCGTACCACGCATTTTGCAGCAGTGAGGCAAGCTGAACATCCAAGATACGTGAAGTAACAATACGGCGGTGTTGTCACGTGAGCATAATAGAGTGCTCCTTGACACGTTTGTACGAACACAAAAACATCTTAGCTAGCCACCCAAACCGCGAGCCACAGAAGCACAAGACCCCCCGCTCGTGCGTCGGCGCACCATCGTGATGTCCCGGTCCTGCTGCGTTTCCCTACAGGGACTGCTGTGTACTTGTTTGATCTACGCATACACGTAGCAGCTGCTTTGTTGAGTACCCCTTCGTCGTCTCTCAATCCTGTTACAGCAGCAGTGGTCGGTGGGTGTCCCATCGCGCACACACACGGGCACACGAAAGCACTGAAGTCTGTGTGGGTGATTTGGACTGAATATCTCTTACACAAGGCGCCCAGGGCCAACGTTCTTCGTCTGAGACAGGGAACAGGCACAAAATTAGAGCAGAGTGTTTCTGTTTCGTCGGTGTAACGGCATAACCTTACCTGCACCGTCGCCACAGCCCTGGACACGTTTTCCGCGACCCATGTTCCATATGCTGGATCGTCAGCATGCAGAACCTTAGAAACACCAGCAACGTGCGCTGCCTGCGCAAGCCGTGTGCGTGACGGAAACCAACGCAAACGCGAGTTGACGCACCGTCATTGGATCTACAGCAGTGGTTATGACGTTTACCCGGTGCAACACGTGCTTTTCTCGCGGGAACGGATGAACCGAAGTTGAACTTGAAGTACATCGTCAGAACGCTCCGTGCTACTTCGTACGTCTTACATCCTCTCTTTCACCTGCTTCGCCACGCCCTCGGATTCATGGCCCAGGACAAGCATTGTGATGTCTCCATTTAGCTGCGCCGCTGCAGTCACCGCACTGAGAGTGCCAGGGAGCAGATGCGAGTTGTCGTGTTCGGCCACGACGAGGCTTGACAGTTGACGTCGGCATGCTTGTGACAGCAGTTGCCTCGATCCAATCATTGCCAGTCGTCGACTCATTACTACCCGAAGGTGCTCCCCAGGTCAATCTTGTGGATGCGAGATAACGACCTAAAGCAGGCTCTATTCTGTATAACTAACTGGTGCCTTGTGTGGTGAAAGTTCACAAGCCAAACGGGGCTCCGCAGGTGAAATGTACTAATAGTAGGTGGTTTGCCGTCAGCAAAGGTACTCCGGACATTAGGAGATGGACAACCAACAATACCTTGGCTGTAGCTATATAGTTGATCACCAGCACCCACCGCCCACTGCTGCTGTTGTGCTGGTCATCTTTCTCTTAACCCTTGGGTGCAAGAGAGACGGATCTAGCTTGGAGGAATCGAACTTGTGGGGTATGAGCTCTGCTGGATTTGGTGAGAACACCCTTCGCCTTGGACCGGCAAACCTGATGTTGCGTTATCAATACATCGGTGTGCATACGGAGTGTATTTCCGACGGCTGTTTCGCGCTGCTCGCCCGCCGGAGCAGCTGTTTTTCGGTGTATGGCTCTTGAAGCGATTAGACAGGCTTGCTGTCGGTAAGATGCCACGATCCGTCGAAGAATCCGATTATGTGCTACGTACTACAGTCAGCGCCCGCAATTAAGAAACTCTCATTTCAGGTCCAGCCTCGATTTTTTTTTATTTATTATTATTTTTTTTTCTAGGTGAAGTGTTGTTGTGGGCCATATAGCGTATGTCGTTCAATTTCCAGTGTCAAGTTTCTTATTTTCGTGCCGACAAATCCTGCTAAATTTCGTCCATCGGCAATTTCTTATTTTCTCTGCTCACGAGAGCTGGCGGAGAGCACCAATCAAAACCGTACACCAGACAGCATATCGTGGTTCGCAGCCTGTCTGGTGTGCTGAGCCAGAGCCGGAGCGCCAGAGAGCGCCAGAGCCGGCAGGGGGTCGAAGGGGGCGCCGCAAAAAAAACACACTCCCCCCTCGTCGTATAACTAATAACGCACTTAGGAGGGGGCGGTAGTGGGAGAAGGGGGAACGAGCGAAAGATAAAAGGAGCTGTGGGGTGTTTCTTATTCGACATACTCTCCCCGTAACCCCTCGTTTCTTATGTAATAGGGCAGCGGTCGCCTCTGTTTCTAATTGAGACATTTCCTATGTGTGTATGTGTGACCCAGCGTGAGCCGTGTTTCGAAACCCTTTTTTCTTATTTTTCTTGGAAAAATGAGCCTTTGATCTCTTAAAAAAATATTGCTTAATTGCGGACGCTAACTGTATGAAGTGGTATGTGCCAGCAACTTTTCAACTCTTGCTTCAGGCTTGAGTGCCTTTGTACTCCCATTTACAGTAGACTTTCTACAGTCCACACCTTTCGGTGTACACTTGACGTACCAGCCGGGGTCACACGGTCCCACATGAGGACTGCTTCAAGCACGAGGGTTTTCCTACTCCGCCTCCTGCGCTACTACTACTGTAGTTTCAATTTTCAACATTTTCGAGACAAGTGTTCAGCGGGTCTATTGATGCTGTTCACTTGATACAAAAGCGTGTTTGCGGACTGGTCTCAGGTCTTGGTCTTGGAAGTCGGAAGCAACTCAAAAACAAAGACCGGAATTGTGTTTCAAAACTGCTCGCGAAGACTGGAGTGTGATTTTTTCGGTCTCGAGCACGCGGAAATTTTCAAGAAAGTTGCGTTCAATACGACGGAGCACCTTTGCCAGCGGCGGCAGATAGATGGTTGAGCCGACTCGGAACACAAAACATGGTTGTATTTATTTCAAAGCTTCCCCCTCCACCCCAACAAGGCTATACTACTACTCTTACTATGACTGCACCCACACCCCCATCTTACTAAGTAGTCATCGAGAATACTGGTGGAGCAACGTACTCATCAACAGGCGGCTGTGCCAGTTCAGTTGCCGGAAGTGCATGGGAAGCGTAGCGCCGCAAACAGCGGAGGCATGCATGTCTGTGCCCCTTCAGCACGCGAACAAATTGTGATACACATCGCAGTCAGTCGTCGACGGAGTCGATTGTCCCCGTCAAACGAAACACGGCAGCACGGTCCACAGTACGCACCCCCTGCAGCTCCTCAAACTCCCACGCCGCTTGAAGCATCCCTAACTCCATCACATCCGCCTCCACTTGTGCCGCACTTCTGAGATCTATACCGCCCGCCTCACCGCTTCACCCTCCTCACGCCGGCTTGATGTGTCGCCCATGAGCATGCATGTAGAGCGATATGCTTCGGTTCACAAATACACATCTAAGATGACGCGAAAGTTGCACCATGTCGGTAGCATGCAATGCGCACCGGATCTGCGGTGCAGTGACGTCTGTCTGACTGCCTGTCTGGCGGTACTGCTGTAGTTGGTTCGCCATGGAGTCGCCTATGACGTCCGAGTTGTGTGTGTTTGGGCAGCTCCACGGGATGGTGCGGCGTGTGTTGGGAGGACATCGGGAGTATCTCGGGGTGTGTAGGCCAATGAAAAATTGTTCTTTCGAAGACGAAACTGAGCAAGACAAAATCGGAGCTTTTCTCAGGTCTTTGGGTCTATGCGCGAAAGCAAAAGACCAGATTCCTAAAGATCCATCGGACTTCGGTGCCCGGGGGATAAAAAAGACCAAGACAAGACCAGAATCAGATGTTCGCAAACACCGTGTTTATTACGCATTCATGTGTACTCCGGATGCATTCGAACCCACAACTGCTGTGACCCTTGAGCTTTTATGATACCTAGTACAACCGATGGACCACCGGGGCGTGGTATACAGGTGTAGTTCAGGGTTTGCCTCCAACCTCCCACATATATTGTGTGGTGTGTATCTGATCAGTGATGAGCGTCGATGCATTGCTTGGAAGGCATTTGTCGTATTTGTAAGTTCAGACGTACACGATTTTTTCAAAGTGTGGAGGCTGATGTTTTGGGCATAAACACGTCGAAAAGTACGCCGGCCACCGGTCGCAACCTTCGTTGAGTTTCCTGTCGGTCGTCTCTCGTGTTCTCCTGCTGTGAACCAAAGCTTTAAGCATGCCTAATGCTGTTGTTCTCCATTGCCGCCGATCTCGTAGCTGGAGCTCCTGTGAGCAAGTCGTTGGCCATCGTCACCGCCGTTTCCACCTTGGTTGTCCTCCAAAACAACAGCCAAGATACAGCCGCGCTCATCGGTATTAGGTGAGCCTTGTGCGACAACGAATGTTCATAGGATTACGAGCGTAACCTTGGATGGAGACTACACATACCACGTATGTTGTCATGTTCTCGTTTGTAGACGAGATGCTCTCAACGAAAGCGAACAGGGCTACTGCTCGTTGCCGCAGACACGCTAGGGCCACCTCCAATTTGTGCGCTTTGAATCTATAGGGGGGAGGGTTGGGCAACGCAGGACCGCCGTGAAGGCCAAAAGTTACCAAGGGTACCACCGCAGGTCAGTAGCGAGTCGTGTAGTTTCTTAGTGCTGTATCTTGTGCCGTAGATGCCATGTACATCTGCATGTGCGCTTCACCATCCGCATTGCGTCCTGGACACTCTATTTCGGTACCCCGTCTACAGAGTTTTCGGGGACGATGGCCAATGGTGGCGTCTTCTCACCAGCATGTTTCCACTGGGAAGCGTGTGGGAGCTGATCCTGTGTCTCAATATTATCCGAGTGTTCCGGATCCTTGAGAGGTATGTGCTGTTCTTGTTCGTGTTCCCGTTTCGTTCGTGGCAGCTGATGCAATTCTCGTTGCCCGGTGGTGTTGCCTACTTCATCGAAAAGCTTCGATCGGAGGACAACCAGGAGGGAGCTTTGTGTTGCCTGGTTCTGTATACAACTTGCTGGACACCGACCTTGTACTGGTTATGTAAACACGTTTCGATACTCTTCATTGCGCTTGTGCAACACGTACACATATCTATCGTGAATACGTCGATTTCGCCATTTAGCCCACGTTGAGCACGTGCCTCGCTGATATCTTCTCGTCCTTGCAGGCATCTTGGATCTGCGAAGTTTGGTTCCTTCTTGTTCCTGGCTGCGTTGTTGTCCAAGAGCATCGAGCTGGCCCTGTGCGTGGAGTTCCCTTTTTTCCGGCCACCACTGGGCCCGCTTCCCATCCTGAGTGCTGTTGGGGTAGCTTATTACGGTGAGATTCTATTGGGTTTGAACTCAACAGTACTGTGCAAGTCGGATGACAAGAGACGCGACAGGGCACCGTCGCAAAGCTTGTTTTGACCCGATGCACGTTCGATACGCAACGCACCTCAGGTTACATACCGTCGACTGCACCAGCATACTTGACCGTCGGGAACGTGCGCGTGACTGGCAAGTTCTTCGCATACGCCGCGGTGCTGGTGGTGAGCCACATGCGATTTCTCTATTTTCTTGTGTTGCTCCGGAACAGGCTCAATCAACCCTGATTCAAATCGGTGCTCAAGTTCTCATTGTGCCCGCACCATGCTGAATCGTGCTGCTGTCCCATGGCAGCTGGCTTTCCACGACACGTACAACTCGGCGATGTCTGCCGGGTGCGGTGTTGTGGTGGCGCTCCTTTACTGGTCACACCTTTCACCACTCCAGAGCTTCCGGATTCCGGGTCGTCAGTTATTTGCGGTGAGATGCGGATAACGTGCGGCTTGTGGAGCATTCCCTGGAGTCGCTCGTGCTCTTTGTAATGTTCCCGGCGGTCGCGCTCCCACAACCATGATCAAGTCTCCGTATCCACACCGTTGTGTTCGAACAGATATGCGGAGCCGCTTTCCCGGGAGGAAACCAGATCGAAGCTCGGCGAGCACAGATAACCCGCATCCAGAACATAGTGAGTAAATCTTACGGTATGACTAAGCGCGAGCAAGTTCCCGATCACTTAACTTGGGTTGTCTAAGAAACACTTGTTCTTACAGGTTCCCCCTGCGGGTCAGTATCCCAAGTTTTACATAGTGCTTCTCCAACGCTGTCTGAGCGTGGCCATGTGCATGTGTAATGATTTCCGTGGCATCGTTGTTGAAGAAAAAACGAAAGAAATGGAACTTTTGGCGGAACCAAGCCCAAACACTATGGGATGCAGGGTTCGACCCACTGCTGTTGACGATTTTCGAAGTTCACGTCGTGCGCGGAGCCCTGGTTTCCGCCAACAGCAAAGCAAGCATTCTAACATCTGTCGGAGTTTGGGAATGGGTGCTCTACGCCGAAAGTTTAAGTTTTGGTTTGACTCAAGCAACGCCTCATATTGGTGATCTAAGCTCACAGCCCCTTTTCAAGCACCCTTTGACCAAGACAAGTATTTCGGATATTGCCGCAGGTGGGGCGTAGACGACAAGCGGACCGAATGCTAGCCGGCGTGGCAGGAGCTGACGCGGGGCCTGCCACGGGGGTGAGTGTGCGAACATGCTGCTGGTTCGCGCTTCTCCAAGCGTATGGTATCGATTGCTAGACGCTTGTGTGTCGTCGAAGTGAAAACGACAGCTGCATGTGAAAAAATGATGCATGATCAGAACGACGGGCGGGCGATAAGCTGGAGTCCAGCCGTAACGACTGACCGCCTTCTAAATATTGACTTGACGTCTATTGGTTGTTTTCTCCTCCACAGCTTCGACAGCGAATGGAGATACCGGCGCCAAGCGAAGAAGATATCACTCTGCTCATGGGTCTTGGGTTTGATCGTGAAACGGTCGTGAGAGTTCTCAGGTCTACTGGAAACAATACTGAGGCAGCAGCAAATCGTTTGCTTGGGCATTGATTGGACGTAGTGGGCACCACCACCACAAAGACTAAATGACACTTGGATACGGAGCCTACTGACTCATGAAGATTTACTCCCAAAAACTGAGTCGCCAGCATGTGAAGATGAGTCCATCAGCAGTAGCGGTTTCAGCACGTTTTCGCGATTTCCCTCACAAATGTATCCATTAAGGACCATTTCGTCGAGGATGAAGTGTGTTTTCTCCAGGTTGAACATAATGTCCAGCTCGCACACGCTCTGGAAGTACTGTGATGGGCACGAAAGACAGAGCATCGGGCAGTGTAGAGGAAGGTTTGGGGATGACGAAGTAAAGCAATGGACTGCAACAAGAGGCTGATTTTCCCGAGCTTACGAACTGAAGGCGCCCGTCTGGCCACTCCAGCACACAGGTGGGAATGAACCACCGACACGAGGTATGTGTATTTTTGCGCTCGCCGTGTCTGATCTTGACACACAATTTTTCCCGGCGACGTTGGCTAGAATTATCTGTGGCATGCTTCCCGCGAGGTCACTATCCGACGAAACGTTCAACATGAGCTCAACGCCTGGGGCAACATGCAAACGTCCAGGCCGTGAACCAATGCAGAGCGTCAACGTTAATTTCTGATCTGACCTGGCATCGTAGTCAACGTATGACCAACTTAATCACTCACGAGATGTTCGCGACCGTGCGAAGTCAATGAACCAATGAACGCCTGCACACAAGTTACCGTGTCCTACAGATAGCGCCCGCACTTAACCCTCCAGTACTGGAAGCCCAAATGGGGACACTTGGGGGACACAGCACTCAAACGCGTACTAACGCACCGTAGTCACCCTAGGCTCCGCTGTGTGACACGCACGTGAGAACTTTGGTTTATCATGCTTGGCTGAGGTTGTACGCTGTGTGATGCTGTGTGATGCCTCTCCTCGGCCTCTGACTTGCTGTGTACCACCTTCCCAAGGCGCGTGTCCCCTAGGTCGTAAAAACTGTACATCGCGTGGTACTGGAAAAAATTGCTGACTTGGCTTCAGTACAAAAAGTGTCCCGAAAACACATGGGGACACTTTTCATACTGAAGCCAAGTCACCCTTTGTCTCGCAAGGAGCTCAGATTCTTTGGAGGGACTGTAGCCCCTCGACTAATGGTTGACAAACATTTTTGCGACAATTTGCGGAGGGACTGGGTACTACGAGGGTTCAGAACCACCTAATTCGGGGGAGGCTGGATTCTTATTTTCTTTGTGGGGTACCCTAGCAGCGACTACATAGGTTCTGGTGTAAGAATTATTGACTCAGCACGTGTTGTTATGACCAACTGCTTGACGTTCCTGTGTTTTGAGCCTGAGTTTTGTAACTCTCAGGTTCTTTAGTGCGGGCGTTAACTGTATTTTGTCACTTTTTCGTAGATACAAGTACATTGCGTAATGTTCTGCACGGAACGAATGTCTCCCCCGTACGAGGGCGAGTGGCAGCCGCACCTTGTCAAGGGTCTCCACGAGACAGTGGATGAATTCCAGTACACCAAGCTCGTTCTCGTCGTCGCTGTCAACACCCACACCAACGATGAAAAACAGCGACGCGTACTGGACGGCGATGACGTGAACGGCAACGGCAAAACCCAAACGAGAGTGGGTATGTTTTTAGAGACATGATGAAACGTGTTTTGCGCCAAGCGATGAACCGGATGCATGAACTACATCCTGTGTTGTCAATCCGACATCCATTCTGAACGCACAAGCCGGGGTCGCACGGGTGGGATACCGCACCGGACGTTTTTTTGGGGGGGCGGCAGCGGGAAATGTCTGCCCTGGTTAGCAGTGACATCGACGCCAATACAAAAGGGAGGGCGATGGCATGTTCCACGTGCCATGCAACGAGCATAGCTAAGCACACCTTGTCCACCGAAATTTGCTTTCACAGCCAACGACGGAGAGGGACAGCTGAATCCTTTTCGCCATTAAGTGGAGAAAAATAAATCCATTTTCCTTCACAACACGGCAACTGAGCATGAACATCATACACGAGTCTGACATTCAACTCACCCGTCGATAGATGATTTTATAGCCCCGAAACTCGAAGAACGAACACTGCAGCTCCGATCGGGAGAAACACCGTCGAACAACCTCTGCTTCCAGGGCTACTCTCTCTGGAATAGGCATCCAGTCGTAGTACGACGACACACGTGTCTGCCCCATTTTGTTGACCATCAGCACAAACTTGATCATGGCCTCACACCGTGTCAGAAGGCAAGCAGCGATCAGGACTTGCGTCTGAGCTGCTAGCACCCGAGACCAGCAAGTGTCCGCACCTGAGGGCATGGGGATGACAGTACATAAAGATACTTCAAAAGGAGAAGGGCGGCGTCGTTCGGATGGCATCATATTTTTTTCGTGTTCACTTCAAATCAGCGCTCACTCCAACCCGTGGTCACACAGAAGGGTTCCTCTCCCTCCACCCCTCCTGCGGTGCATTATCAAAGTGCTGTGATATGAGCATTCCTCGTCATGACACGTAGACATTGACCAAAAGTAGTTTAGAAAGTCGTTCAACCTCAGCTCGCTGTACCTCCGGTCGCGGATGCTCGCTTGCCCTTCTATGCATACATCGCAACAAAGGGCTACAAAGCTGAGGGGGGTTCCAAGCTGGGGGGGGGGGGGTACTCATAGTCGTGCATGCCGTAGTCGTTAGACCATTGACCTCGCATCCCTACAAAGCCGGGACGGAGCACGCCGGGTTCTCACCGGACCAGGCTCTCACATCACCAAGCGCGAAGCGCCGTGAGATATTCGGCGAGTCGCATGAAGGGTGCGCTGCATCCTGCTAAGGGTTTTCGGCATCTTGTGCTTACTTCCTTGCGTACGGATGACAGCTGCGTATGACTTGAGTACTTGTCTGGTGCTTTCACTTCCAGAGACAGTTGTAAGCACTGTGTAACTGCCTCGAGGGTGCTTGACCATTTTAACACAACGTGGTGCGATCATCCCCCTTGCGCGGAGTGAGGGTTCTCCACCCCGCACAACATGATCTACTCGACCACCATTATGGTTACCGCCAAAAAAAAAAACGGAGGTAAAAAAAAAAAACGGTAACCTGGTTGCCGAGTTCACGAAGTGAATGGCTTGTTTTCCAACGTCTTTGCCAAGCGACGAAAACCCAATCCCGATGGCAAACTCCTGGGGGGGCGGCTTGTTTTCCAACGTCTTTGCCAAGCGACGAAACCCAACCCCGATGGCAAACACCGGGGGGCGGCGGCTTGTTTTACAACGTCGTTGCCAAGCGACGAAACCCAACCCCGATGGCAAACACCGGGGGGCGGCGGCTTGTTTTACAACGTCGTTGCCAAGCGACGAAACCCAACCCCGATGGCAAACACCGGGGGGCGGCGGCTTGTTTTACAACGTCGTTGCCAAGCGACGAAACCCAACCCCGATGGCAAACACCGGGGGGCGGCGGCTTGTTTTACAACGTCGTTGCCAAGCGACGAAACCCAACCCCGATGGCAAACACCGGGGGGCGGCGGCTTGTTTTACAACGTCGTTGCCAAGCGACGAAACCCAACCCCGATGGCAAACACCGGGGGGCGGCGGCTTGTTTTACAACGTCGTTGCCAAGCGACGAAACCCAACCCCGATGGCAAACACCGGGGGGCGGCGGCTTGTTTTACAACGTCGTTGCCAAGCGACGAAACCCAACCCCGATGGCAAACACCGGGGGGCGGCGGCTTGTTTTACAACGTCGTTGCCAAGCGACGAAACCCAACCCCGATGGCAAACACCGGGGGGCGGCGGCTTGTTTTACAACGTCGTTGCCAAGCGACGAAACCCAACCCCGATGGCAAACACCGGGGGGCGGCGGCTTGTTTTACAACGTCGTTGCCAAGCGACGAAACCCAACCCCGATGGCAAACACCGGGGGGCGGCGGCTTGTTTTACAACGTCGTTGCCAAGCGACGAAACCCAACCCCGATGGCAAACACCGGGGGGCGGCGGCTTGTTTTACAACGTCGTTGCCAAGCGACGAAACCCAACCCCGATGGCAAACACCGGGGGGCGGCGGCTTGTTTTACAACGTCGTTGCCAAGCGACGAAACCCAACCCCGATGGCAAACACCGGGGGGCGGCGGCTTGTTTTACAACGTCGTTGCCAAGCGACGAAACCCAACCCCGATGGCAAACACCGGGGGGCGGCGGCTTGTTTTACAACGTCGTTGCCAAGCGACGAAACCCAACCCCGATGGCAAACACCGGGGGGCGGCGGCTTGTTTTACAACGTCGTTGCCAAGCGACGAAACCCAACCCCGATGGCAAACACCGGGGGGCGGCGGCTTGTTTTACAACGTCGTTGCCAAGCGACGAAACCCAACCCCGATGGCAAACACCGGGGGGCGGCGGCTTGTTTTACAACGTCGTTGCCAAGCGACGAAAACCCAACCCCGATGGCAAGCTGGGGGGGTGTAATAATATTTTCATGACTGCCATTTGAGCCGGCGGATTCGTATGCGGGGGGGATGTAATCAGGCATATGCATGCATACATGCATTTGTGATTTGCCACCTGATCGGAATCTCTCAATCACGTGTTGCGTTGGGAAATACGATTACTCCCCCACCCAAATCGGGAAGTCTTGGGGCTACAACACGGGCTGAGTAAAAATTAGACTGCGTAGTGCAGAACAACGCACACAGATTTATTTGGTGCTGCCCTTGCCTCGACAGCCTTGCTTCCACAGCACCGTGTGTGTAGATGAAACCAAAAGCTTCTTCTCAATTTGTTGCTGCCGTCGGCATATGCTGGTGTTGACACTTTTTGGACCGCTACTGCTGTGGTCTACCGGTGCTGTACCACACTACGTCGTTGCTTAATAAATCTTCTAATAAATCCGCGGTCGGCAGTTGCATTTGGGCGGCATAGAGAGGGTGCAGTACATTTACAGCCACAATATTCTTCGTACCATGTGGTATTGAACAAAGACCGCTGGTGTGTGCCAGCACGTTGCACGTGGCGACTCCAGGACGCTGGATGATAAATCCTACACTATTCTCTCTGGCTTACGTCCTTTGAAAATCGTCCCAAAGGTATGAACCAGCACCCATGCACACGGGCGGTAGTACTGCTGTAGCAGGGTTTGAGCTGACGGTCGCGTGCAACGTGCAACGGAGCTAACAAGTGCGGAACAACGCGGAACAACTTGTGTAATCAGAGGGCGTGTCTACAACGTGCCTGATAATGTTGCCATGAAATTCTCACCGTTTGCCGGAAGTTTGGGGAGAGCGCCTTTTGTTACTAGATCCACCGAAAAGCCGTAAGAATCACCCAGAGACTCGAACAGCTGACACGAGAGAGTAACGAAAGGTGTGCGTGTGTGGGTGCAGCAGTAAGCAGTAGCTCACACCTCACACGGGCTTATTTCGCCGCAAAAAAAAAAAAACGCAATATCAGCTGCTCTATTGTTGTACTGCTGTTGCTGACACCGAGCCACACTTGCCATCCGAGGGCGTACTCATGGTGGACGCTTCGAGACTTATCGATGCCTTGGGGCGAGATGACCTTGATCAACGAGCTGTTGCAGACCATCTCGTACGTTTGGCCAAGGTGAGGATGGTCCACGTCCAATATGATCAAGGTATCCTTCCGAGTGAGGTGTGGACTTGCCTGCGCATTCAAATCACACCTACTCCTGGTCAGTCCTGGTGTCGTATTGCTCTCCCTCCCACGGCCTGTCAATTTCTTATTACCCCCGTCGCTTGCCGCTACCATTCTTGCTTGCGTGCCTTGTGCCGGTTTCGAAGGGGCTCAAGCATATTGCTGCCGTGGCGGGGAGTGAAGACCCGTTAGCAACGGGCGTCACACTGGCTCCGAACGCAGAAGAACCCCCACCAGGTTTAGAGGGAGACCCTGCAGTAGCTTCCCCGACCACAGCAGTCACGACCACCCATCAGCCAGGAGAGAAAATGCCCCAAGATCATAGCATGGGTGAACAGCAAGCGGAGCCAATTCGAGAAGAAAAGGTTGGGTCGATCCAAGAAGAGAAGGAGATACTTGCCGGGGAAGAACCGGCGCACGAGCAGGTGGTGAAGACTGACGAAGCTGTTCAGCAGCAAGCGAACACGGCGCCACAGCCGCGCGGCGACCTATTGCTGGAGCTTATACGGAGCTTTCGAGGAGGGATGTTGAGAGTGGATAGCAACCTCAGGGCTGCAATGTTTCGGTCTTTGCGGTACCTGGTGGGTCAACTTGTGCTACAAACATACATCCCATTTCGAAATGTTTATTAAAGAATGAAACGTAACGGCAACAAAGTGATGGCCTTACCGTTATCATGCGTGTGATACATACGTAGGTATCACACCGGGGTCCCTTGGCTTACATTGCTGCTGTATTTTTTATATGGAGAAGGTGATCGCACCCGGTGCGATTGCACTCCGTTGGGTTCAACCCTCCCGATACTGGTACAAAGAAATGGTAGTTTCACAGCTCTGGCAACGCACTCCCATAGGAATGCTGCTGTAGTACACGGTAGTTTTAAGATCCTGATACCTACCCCCGACGGCCATAGAGGTGCTATGCATACGGCACTGATGTATACAGGCATCCGGTGCCATCACTCCTGTAAGTGCGATACAGATTGTTACCGTGGCTCCAACGGAGAATACAGTAGTTCTACTCGTGCAGGATCCGGCGCAAGGCACACACACAAGCACCATGCACCTTATTGCAGAGTCGACGGAATTCGGGAAGGAGCGAGTGTCGTTATGGCGTGTGGCAGACGAAAACCGATGTGGTTCCCTGATGAGAGTATAGCAGTTTGTATTCCAACTTGTGGTGACTGGGTTCTGCTGTCGATTTTTTTCTTCCTCTGCGAGTACTAGCTGTAGCACCATACCACGCCTCTTCTCGTTTGCTTTCTTCCCTCGCCGTCTCGTCCGTCTGCTGCCCTCCTTCCGCCCCGTTGGTTGTTGCCATGTCCGTGCTGTTGCCAGACTTTTGTTTCGTTTGACCGCTCGTTGCCGGCTAGTCCTGGAATCAAAATAGGTTGTAGGTTTGCGTGGTATGTGTTGTGTGCCTGTTGTAAACAGGTTGCCCATAGGTTCGAACTCCCCGATGGGTGCGGTCACACACAATGTTACGGTAGATGGCAGCGCCTGACAATCGAAACATTGAAAAACGCCTAGGTTCGCACGAGCGAGGATGCTGAGCTCCTCCGAAGACAGCGCTTCGGCCTCTTCATCGCCCTCGCCTTAGCGCGGGAGCAGTACGAGCTGTGGGAACGGATGCAGGTAGGTGACCTGTCAATGCCGCCCATGTTTGTTCATGCTGTTGCGGAGGACACGGGGTACTGTTGGCACAAAACCTTTCATCAGTATCTTACCATGGCAAATTCGAGCATGACACGACTGCAGAAAGACTCGACCCTATGACCTTTCTTCACGGCATAGTCGACGATTTTAGCAAGTCGGCACACCCAATACCAGACCTGGTGGGGTGAACACCAATTTATCCTCCTGCAGCATTAGTGGGACCACCGGCTGGGACAGAGGCAGTCACTCAATCCAACCGGATGGAGGAGAGAATGGATGCATGTCTTATCAGTGAAATAAAATAGTCTCTTCACAACGTCTAACCCGTAGCGCTGACTTGGTCAAGCTCATGCTAGCAGAAAGTGCATGGGATGGTAGTGCATAGTGGGAATCCATCTCCGGCAGTGCTTCCGGCGTGTCGTCATTCTGTCGGTCATTCGTTGATTTGGGAGAAATAGCCTATATCATGAAGTTGGCGCAAGAAAATATTGTCGCAGCACTGCTGTTCTAACTTGTCGAGTACGTCCAAACAGGCGCTCAAGCTGGTGAAGCAAATAATGGCGGTCGACTCTTCGCGGCTACCTCGTGAAGTCGTGCGCACAGTGGTGGCTGTCTCCGGTCACAAAGAGGACAACTTCCGAAGGGCAAGTCAGGCGTCAACGGCGTTTGCTGCCTCTGTGTGTGTGGCTGATAGCACCCGCAAAGCTTTTTGCGTACAGTCCAGCGTTGCTGTGTAGGGTGACCGTGCCAGCCGAGCCCTCTGATAGATGTTCTTGATCTGTCGGGTCTACAGGTGTGCCTGGAAACCTTGCAGGAGTTGGCTGTCGCTGATCCTCGCGTGGTTGCGCATGCCAACGGCTTCCGCGTGCTGTTGGCAGCTGCCATCGATCCAGCAAACCAGGTGGGGTATGCCCGAGGCCCAAAGTGTGTTGTACGATGTGATGTGGTAGGTTTGAGCGTACTTCGTGTTGTTGCAATCGCTGTATAGCATCGGGAACAGCCGCACGAGAGAGCGCTGACCGGCTAGCGTTTCGCCATACCCCCCGGGTTCGTAAGCTACTGATGTAAGTTGTGGGCGATGCTGTATGCAGGACCTGACGGAGCCGCTGGTAAGAACACTCACGTCCATCATCGAGGACCCTGCCACGAGGCGATACGTGCGGCCTCACCTGGAAATTCACCAGCTGCTGACCGGGTTCACGGATCTTGACGCCCCTCCAGGACCCGAGAGAGCTCATAGGTGGCAGGTGAGTTTTGAGTCTTTGTGGATGGTTGAGAGCCCATCTGTTTATCCGTCGAGTCGTCCGCATCACTCATTAGCCATTCCAGACTATTGGGACGCAACGGTAAAACACGATAACCGTCCACCTCTTCCCGTTTTCAGGCTACACGTAAGGCCTTGGTCATAGCAATGCGCACTTGGGCAGGCGTGCACCTCTTGGCGTCGGATTCCCGCGGGCTCGTGACGCTGATGCGGCTTCTGCGGGACCCATCGGCGTCATTCAGCGACGACGCCGGGTTACAAGATGTGAGGCGCTTGATCGAGGGGGTGCTTTTGCGATGACATCGCAACCCGAAAGTAAGGCACAATACCTCTTTCGGTGCTGGCGCGTTGGCGTAAGAAAATACGAAAACCTGGAAATCGTGAAATCTAAAGTAGGCGCCTAACATTATTCTTAGGTTAGGGTCCGTTGTGGTGCAGCGCACGTCGTAAACAGGTGCTGTGCATGGTGTTGTCGCAGAGGTGGCTCTCCCGTGACTGTCCTGACAACCTGCAACCCTCTGGCATCTCCCGTTTCTTTCTCATCGTCCTCAGAGCATTTTGGAGACCATCGTGGACATCTTCGATCCTCTCGTGGGCATGGGCAGGACACCTTCATCAGCCGAGCCGGGGCGAGAAAGTAAGCTGCCTGCCCCATTCTCAGGTAAGTTTGACGGAATAGTCGACAAAGAGAGTGCATGTGCCATCAAGATTTGAATGTGCGTGTTGCACAAAACCAAGAGCAACAAACGCTGCGGACTTCAGAATTCAGAAGGCACCCTTATGAAGACGGTGTAACTCTCGCTAGAAACTCGCGCCGGTGGATAGTCAACTGTGTGCGTTGGTGGTCAACCCTTCGTTGTGTTGCCTTCCATATGTAGGCTACTCCCCAAACATAAAATATTAATTGATCAAACCTAAAAAATAATAAATAAAAATCACACAACTCATCGTACATATAGAATATTCTCTGCACTTCTCTGTTTGTTCTTTGCGGTTTGCCTCATTGTTTTCCTCGGTTTCGGAAGTCTCAAATCAATTATACTTCGCTCTCAGACGCTCACTTACAGCACGCCCGGCAAGACCACACACAAAGGAAAAGGCGCAGCCTCTTGGTAGTTGATGGGTAAGACATACATGGCGTAGCCTACTGCTGTTGGTTTTCGGCGTGGCATCCCTACGCTTTATCCGATGTGTCATTTGCCGCACGAACATCTTTTCGCACACGTGCTCTTCCGAGAGCACAGCCAGCAGCACCGGCAGAGCGCAGAGCAGGCAACCAGACAAAAGGCAACGAACTTCAGGGTGACTCTTCTGTTGTTTTATCAGTTCTGTGACACCCCTTACGTTATTGCAAGAACACGTGCCCGAACCAAGCCAAAACGCAACCGTAGCAGAAAGTTGTTGTTAATGTCGATGCGCACACCACAATCAACACGTCGTAGACAAAACATCAACAGGTAGGAACCTCCCTCTTGTCTCTCAGCAGCACTCCGCTGCTGCTACTCTGCTGTTGCTACTCTGCTGCTGGTCTTGCAGGTAAATTAGCGGTGGTGGTCAAACGATTCCTCACTGTTCCTCTGTTGGTTCTTTTGGGAGGTATTGTTGCGGGGCACGGACGCTCCGCCTACGTTAGAATGGTCACTTTCTGTAGCGTTGCCAGACAGCAGAAAATTCATTTCGTAGTTACGCCTATTTGTAGTCAGGCCCGCCAGGAAAGAGAAGGTGAGGTGCCTCGTGCGGGCGTTTTGGTGAACCGGTCTCCGAAGCAATAGCGTCGCCCAGGCAATGGGGTCGGCCCTTAACACCCTCTATCAAGTCGCATATCACCGTTATGGCTGTGAGCCGTGTACACTGGTGATTGTGTTATTTGTATTTTATTCACGGCTTCGGCAGGGAGGTCGGCAACACTTCCACACAAGAGCGCGGGATCTGGGTTGCGAACAAGGAGAGGCTCGGAGCCACACAACCTGTTGCTGAGCTATGCAACCTTGTTGTGCGCAGCGTTCGTTCACTGCGGCCTTATTCCTAGCCTCACTACGCTAAGTATTTCGGCTGGATCGGAGAAGCTGCGAACCAAGGCTGCAACACTGTAAGCGTCTACAGCAGCACGTTTTCTGTTGTCATTTTGCACGTCGATTTGTTTGCGATGAGTTGTTCACGGACGGGAGGCAGCGTAATATTGTAGGCTCAGCGCGCTGCGGTTCATCAACGATTATATAATCAATAATGGGTACTTTTCATGAAAGCGGGACGGAATATCCTGGCGAGCAACAAAATCACGAAATCAGGGCGTCGTTGTACTGTTTTGGCTTGATGTGAGACCTTTCCTCGTATCTCATAGTGCCGCCCCTTTTCTGCCTCTGCCATGCGATAATTATCGTCGGCAGACTGGTGGATGTGCTACACTTGTGCGCCATGCTTCTATCGCAGAATCAATGCACGCGACTTCTTTCGATGCCAGGCCTGGTTGAGATCGCGGCAGAGTCTCTAACAGGGTGCATGGGAATCGCTGAAGGCGGGGTGCGATCGTGTCACTTAACACGTAGTCGGGCGTCAAGGTGAGACCTGTTGCGTACATTTCCGGTGTATGGCAGAACATTATGCATACACCAGCCTCTGCCCTGCCAGTTCGTGAATTGCAATCTCGTTTGGTATGGATGCTAGATTTCTCTTAGTCGCGCACTTCGCGTTGCCGCCTTTGTTTTTCGAGATATGGTGCCACCAATGACACGGTGGACGGCACTAGGTGATACGCCGAGTTGTTCCTGCATTCGGTCGTGGATGTGTCCGCTCTGAATTGTTTCCGCTCCGGCGTCAAGGGTTATGTGCGAGGCCGATTGCAAGGCTCATTTGTAATTGTGCCCGCCCACGGCGAGGCGTGTCGGAACGGTTGTATTTTCGCACGTCAGATGGCCAAAGAACGATAGGTTTGTGCCACCCATTATTTGTTCTAGGTGCACATGTGTTGTCGGTTATCTTGAAGCAATCACCGCGCTGTGAAACAGGGCGAGTGACTTGGTTCGATTGCTGCATCGAGCCCTAGGCGCCGGAGCTGTTGGTCCTGTTTCCGCATATTTTGGGCAGCAGGGCCAGACGGAGCAGCCGATGGTCACCATTGGGGGCCTTATGGAGAAGGTACGCTACGTCTTTGCCAATCGTATATTTGAGGCGCACACACGGTGTTCCGAAACCGTGCACGCAGCTATCGCTTGCTTCTCTACATTTACATCTACGCATATATGAGTCAACCTATGTGTGGTGTGAATTTCAGGTTTACGAGGCGGAATCAGCAATCGACAGCGGTATGGATACGCATCAGAGCCAGGGCTGGGAGCCCACAGGGACCTTGGAACAGATGCGGAAAGAGCTCCGAGTCAGCATTGAGTCAAGCGTCGAGAAGAGTGTCATGGAAGCCCAGATGAACAAAAGCAAGGTACCGCAATACCCTTGCGACCGCTAGCCAGGTGGGATACAACGGTGCCCATTTGTATCGCGCGAGTGCGTACTACCCATTGTTTTCGGTACGTGCTGTCGTAGACGCACCAATCGCATTGCGGATGGTATTTTCACTTGCGGTGGACAAACTCTTGCTGCTTCCGTGCCCACGCCTGCACCTCTGCACCATGCCCTCTCTTGGTGATCCCATGTACTATTTCAGGTGTTGGCTACCAAGGACTGGACGAAGTGGGACTGGGATGTTGTGGATGACATCGTGCAGGATATTCTTCCCCACTCACCCCGGTTGATAGACGCGTTACGCACGAAATGGATCAAGCGCGTGTCGGGATTCTACCGCTTTGTAGGCGCAAGCGGCACTTCAACCGAACGGTAATTTGGCTTGCACGTGTAGTTCTTGCTTGGCATCGTTGACTTGGACTGCGTGAATGCGCGTCTACTGCTGACTTGGACACGGCAGTGTGCATGCTGAAAGCTAGCTAACCAACACACACCAGGGTTTCGGGGTTTGTTTGCAGCTATTCCGATTGTCGAGTGCCGGCGATTCTTCCTTCTGGCCCCCCTACGCATTATTCCTTATGAGCCTTTGTGCTTCGCCCACGCAGTCAGGTCGGATGAGCATAGTCCCGTCCGCAGAATAGCTGGTCTCGACCCCAACTTCTGCTCGGCTTCGTGAAACGTGTTTGTTGTTGTCGCACTGTAGGGGAGGAGGTGGGGGACTTCACAATATGCGGTGGGATCCAGACCACATTCGCCATATCGCCTGTGCTGGACGGCTGTACTCTCTTTTGCTTCAGCAGCAAGAGGGGCTCCACTTCCTACAGACAGACGCTAGAGGAGGTGTTCTGCAGGTGACCTAATATGACTCGCAACATATCTGGGCATATATCTGGTCCAGGTCACCCCGGCTGAAGGCAGAACCCTGTTGTAGTGGTAGGTGTAGTCGGAATGTAGCACACGTTGCTACCCGGCTGTTGTTTTTTTGTCATCACTTCGAATCAGCGCTCACAGCACTGGTGCCGTTTACTCCAACCCGTGATCACACAGAAGAGCCCCTCTCTACCCTCCCCTCCTGCGGTACTTTGCCTTCGATTTTTAATGCAAGAAGATTTCAGCACTCTCTTCCCTCTGTGTACACACAAACCAGCCCTATCCACTAGGCCAGGAGCGGAAGCGAGGGAAAAACTCACTTTGCAAGAAAAGCTCGCGTACGCCGGGATTCGAACCCCTGACCTGACCTCTAGAAGGTTTCGAGGATACCAACTAGACCACCGGGGCGACCGACATGGTTGCATACCGCTAAATGTTTTGCGCGGTATGCAGTAGACCGAGCGCGCGGGTACCATCACCTGAGCAACGCTCCCCCGTGGCTGTCAGGAAACGGTCAAAGAGCTTCAGGCGTTGGTCACAAGAAGATGCAGCGGGAGTGGATCGGGCAGGTTTGCAGCCGCGTCGAAGGTAAAGTACGGATACAGTCCTCACTTCTTGCTGGTGCTGGTAGCAGAAACACAACTATGTCGTTGTGATTGGGAGATAAGTGTGGGGCTTTGGCTATGGTTGTGGATCCGCGTTGTCTCCGATGGGTAGTATCTTGACGTGACCAACGCCGTGGTACTTCTGTAGTATCGCAATGACCTTGTACCTTTTGTTCGCTTATTCTTTTCGCCCTTTCCAGCTTGATGATGCCCTCCCCCCCGACCACATCCTGTCACTGCTGTCACGACGTGAAGGTTTTCGATATGGACTCATGCCAGCGGAATCTAAGTGGAGGCTACATCACGCTTTTGTTCAGCGTCGCCGCCGGAACTGAAGCAGGGCGACAACTCCTTTCAGATACGGGTCTCTGGGATCATCTCGCTAGGATGGGCAGCCAGGTCAGCTATCTTCCTTACCCCCGCCAAATATACACCTCTATATCAGCGGCGCACCGAATGTGCCTCGCCGTCTACATCCAAGGACCGGCGGATATCCTGTCTGCGTGTAGAAAGTCGATTACCTGCTCTGAGGATCTCGTAATGTAGTTGTACGGAAGGAGCGACTCGTGTTGTACGAGCTTATGAACCTCCGTGTTTCCCTGTACGTAATATCAACAGTCGGAGCTGGACTACATGAGCCGCCTTATCTTGGCGAAGATCGACCTCGCCTCCGAAAAGTGCTTTCCTCGGGATCAGCTAGAATCATGGATGACGACAGGCTCAAGGTACAACAGTAGTGGCAGCTTTGTGGGGAGTTTTTTATGCTTGCCAGAAGTACATTTGGTTCGAGTCCCGTGTTGTAGTTCAACTCTCAGCGCAGATGACGATCGAAAGGTGCGTCCCTACCCTTCTGTCTTCGGTTGTGTGCATATCAGCCACCTTCGGCTGTTTTCAATCAACAGAATGCGAATCGCGTTGAGAAATTCCAGCGCGGCGAACCGTCGGCTGAGAAATCCTGTACTGACAGCTCACGGCGGAAGCACCACGCCCTCGGACTACGCTCGTTCGGAAGGGTGGTGCATTGAGATGCTGGTGGCTCAGGTACATGGCGACGACCCAGCCGTTGCTCGGGCTGCTCTTTCCGTGCTGGAGGAGGCCACGCAAGACGAGCGCTGCCTGCGAACTCTTGTGAGTTGATTCTTTCCTCCTCTTCACCACAAGTTGTGGTGCGCTAGACTTCTTGGGTACAGCGAATCAATTTGACGTTGTTTTTGCATCATGTCATAACAGTGGTTCCACCAAAGCGCTTCGTGCCCTCAACATCTTCCGCGGACACCAATGGACACCAATCTGTTTTTGTTGCGAACAAGGTATCGGCCAAGCCGGACTTGATCCACAAACCAGGAGCAAACAATCTGCTTATGCGCTTCCTGTCAATACCTGAGGGTATCGTGTATCTCGAGGAACACGGATGGGCGGAACAAATGGTACGGGAGTGGAAAGACAGCGGCCGTACGACGACGTACGCCGACAGCGTCGACATGAAGTGGAAGGTGAGAACATAGTCCACCGGTGTTGTGTGGAGAACCCGCCCCGCCACGCACTTGTGTGTAGATCGGCTGGGCTTGCCTGTAGCAAACACCACGAAGCGATCCGTGCAGCGAGGCTAACACCTGTCATTTTCAACAGACGCATGTCAACGACGTGGAGCATGTGGAGGAAAACCTGAGCACGGAGCCGATGTCAAAGCATGAACACGACATGAGCGACTCTGGCGTGGCGATCCCAATCAGGATGAGCAACATGTAAGCGTCCATTACTCGACACTTGCGAATTATGAGTGTTGATCTGCCACGAAGGCACAAGCCCTCCCTGCGTTTACCGGCATGCAGCTTTCTTTGACAGGTTTCCGTTTCTAATTTACCACCTACAGGACACAGCATTCTGTTGGTTACAAGCTGACACAGGGTGAGAGCTCGTTGATTGTTGTCCAAGGCGATCAGCATCGTCAACTTTTGTTGTTTTTTCAGGTCGCAAGATGCCGGAGTTGAGGGGCCACAGGAAGGGCGTGAAGTAGAGCTGCTCATGAGCCTTCCGTGGAATATTGAGGTCATGCTGTCAACAGATTCGACTTCCACGTCAGGCTTGCAGCTGAGGTTAGACACCTTTGTTGACACCCTACCAAAGGACGACTCTCCAAGCGTGGGAGCAACCGCCAGGGGCACTCCAGGCGCGACTAAAATGGTAAGCGTGGACTGGGACCAAAGTAGGTATGGCAAGCGTTGAGAAAATCGTCGTTGGTACACGCACGCGGATGTTGCCGCCCAGATGTGAGCGAAAGTCATTGGACCCAATGTTCATCTTCATGAAATGGAAACGGCAGAAGTTGACAGGAGTGAACGAGCGCCAAGAGAAAGTGGATGACCTGTTGTGATGTAGCTCATGAAAACACTCGTTGATTCCTGCACAGGTGGTGCGTGGCATTGTGGTGGATCCGGCCGGTAAACCAACGTGTCATCCATTGGAGGCGCACCTCACCATTCATGCACGGCTATGTGTTGGCGCTTGTGCTGTGGACCGCAGGGGGAACGTACAACGGAGTCCAACCTCCTCGCTGATGGATAAGCACGTGCGTCGTTGGAGGTCGTGTCTCGTCTGTTTGGATGTCGAATTTGTATAAGGAACTGGGAATGACAACATAGATATCCGGTCTGACGCTGTATCCAGTTTGCAACATTCTGTTCGCTTGTTCAAATTTTTGTTTCGATTTTTTATTTTGTTTTTGGGCTGTGTTTGTTTGATGTTCGAATGTCACCCATGGACCATGTCCTTATTCTTGGGCTTCGGTGCTGCTTCGCATGCATTGATTCTGAATGTTGCTTGCTCTTGCTGTGTCACGAGTGGAATTGGCTCACCTTTTGTTTTCAACGGTTGATGTTTGCCTTGTTTTGAGTCAAGGCGTGACTACGGAGTATGGAGGTTCTGGACGGAGGTCTGAATAGTGGTCATGTGCAGCCCACAGCGGCAGATCTTGCTTCCCTGTGATCGTTGTGCACCATCACACGTTTGGATTCCCCTCTATCCCGCACGCATCAGACGGCACCGTTCGGACGGAGCCGCTCGAGCCGACCTCCGCGGTCGCAGTGGTCACCGCAGCACGGCCGAGTCGATCATCACAGCTTGTTTGGAACCAGCACGATGTATCGGGGCGTGCAAGGAATGCAGGACTTCGGACCTGGGCGTGAACTGCCCGAAGATCCGTCAGACATGGAGCACCAGTTGTTCTGGTCGACATGTCGGCCCCATCAGGTTTGACCGCGCACATCAGTCTCTGTCTGACGCACCCTTCTTGCTATGCATTGTTGTGGTACCCATGGCTTTACCTTCCATCGGATGCAACAGGCGTTGTCTCTTTGTTCCTACGTCCCCGCGTGCTTTGTGCTTCCAGAGGGTGCCCCCATCCCCACTTGTTGTCAACCCTGGGTCCGACAACGGCAAGGATGACAGCCGGTCTGGGCTAGGCATGCATACTGTGTCACCGCTATCGAACTCCTTGCACGACGAGGCCCTTGACGGGGACGAACAAGAGGCTTTTTTGCCGGCGGCAAGGGCTGATCCGGTCGGCAAGAGCGATGCCGAGGCCGACGACGGGGAAACCCTGCAAGAAAGCGCACGATCCGCCATGATTGGGCGTGAGCGCGTTGTGCGTGTGCCGAATGAGACGGCGCGTTGGGTGTTCACCAATCAACCCCAGTCAGAGGATACAATTTCTACGCAGGCGAGTGGATATTCGCTACCCTGCCAAGCGTGAATGCTCCATTTTGTCCGGAAACTGTCAGGAGGTATTTATTACTTGTGGGTGGGTGGGGGGGGGGGTGTACTCATAGTCGTGCATGCCGTAGTCGTTAGACCATTGACCTCGCATCCCTACAAAGCCGGGACGGAGCACGCCGGGTTCTCACCGGACCAGGCTCTCACATCACCAAGCGCGAAGCGCCGTGAGATATTCGGCGAGTCGCATGAAGGGTGCGCTGCATCCTGCTAAGGGTGTTCGGCATCTTGTGCTTACTTCCTTGCGTACGGATGACAGCTGCGTATGAATTAATTTATTTTCTGGTGCTTTCACTTCCAGAGACAGTTGTAAGCACTGTGTAACTGCCTCGAGGGTGCTTGACCATTTTAACACAACGTGGTGCGATCATCCCCCTTGCGCGGAGCGAGGGTTCTCCACCCCGCACAACATGATCTACTCGACCACCATTATGGTTACCGCCAAAAAAAAAAACAGAGGTAAAAAAAAAAACGGTAACCTGGTTGCCGAGTTCACGAAGTGAATGGCTTGTTTTACAACGTCGTTGCCAAGCGACGAAACCCAACCCCGATGGCAAACACCGTGTGGGTGGTAGGGATCATTAACGTATGCACATATGATGTACACCATTCAACGCTACCCGTTTTGCTGACTTGCCACAAATGTCCAGGTTATTGACAATTCGAGCGTCACGTACCTCAAGGCGGTCGAGATGACGATTTCGTTGAAGGACATGGGGTAAGTGGACCGCATTTTCCGACATGTTTGTGCACGACAGTGCAGTGCCAAGCAGAGGATACCGAGCAAACACTATGTTCCTGGGCATGATCTCTGGTCGAATAGGACAAGAGCTCTGTCTCCTTTGGCCAACAGTGGCGTCTCAATACTTTGCAAGACCTTTCCAAACCAATGACGGTTGTCGTGAATGTTGTGATGTTTTTCACGTTGCACATTGCGTTTGAGACGATGCAGAGAGTCGGGCGAATTCCGACAAGACCCCAACGACAGATTGAATTGCCCTTTTTTAGGGTGGACACCATTCGTGATCGCAAAGGTAGTATTGTGGGTGGGTAACTTTTCTTCCTTCTGTGGTCACTAGAACGAGGTGCGTGGCTTCTTCGCAAGAGTTCATTGCTGTGGGTTCTTGAAGGGCACCCTGTTGTGTACTTCATGGGTTTGCTTGCGTTGCAGTCCCCGCTGATCGTTTTTGCCCGAACAATGTTGAATGCAGGCCGGCGGGCATCTTGCTTCCACCCCACCTGTATGGCGAGTTGGCTAAAACAGAGAGAGGCTGCGAGCTTTTGCGAAAACATGGCGATCTCAACAATCTGCTCCACATTGCGAGGAACTCTGGCGCTGCGGCAGATGACCGCAAGGGAGCACTGTGGGCAGTGGTGAGCGACCGAAGATTCGTGTGTGGGTAACGTGGAAGTTTGGCGTTTGGTCTTTGTCCTGTGGTGCTTTAGCGCATACTTTGCCAACCCCTATTTGGTGCCTCGCTCTGTGAACCCCCATCCATATATTACGTGTGCTGCTCTAACGCCGTTGCATATGTTCACGTGTGCAACGAACCCCGTCTGGCGTACCTTGGATTCCGATGGTATGGGAGTGCATCTGGAATATTACACTTGCGCTGGGTCTTGTTGGAGTCATGATTTCGATCTTCGCCGAGCTTTAATAAATATCTCGCTACTCCAACAAAACCCTCTTGTTGAACAGAGTTTTTCACACATAGGGTAGACGGGCCTGCTCCCCAAAAACCCAAAACGTCTTACCATTTGGTAAGGTCGCTCCATATATGTTGCTGTCGTACGTTGTGGTTACACTCGCTATCCCTACCTGTTATAGTCTAGCCCTCAGAATGTTCCATTACTTGTTAACAAACAAAAGTGATTTTCAACACATGCGCTGTGCTGGTTCGTTTCCTTTCGTCAATCCAGGCGCACGTCAGTAGCTGGCCTCTCGGTCTAGCTCTCCTTGAAGAACTTCGGGGCGATGTCGTGGGCATGCTGCTCAAGATGTGCACGTCGGAATCGCACTTATCTGTGTGGGGGTAAGACTTTGCTTGCGCTAGAGTCATGGTGGCAAAGACTGCCACAGCAGTCGCGGAAGGCGTTCCTGCTAGGAGCTTGTAGTGGTGCACATGAGAACGGAAACGAACTTGGAACACTGTTAGCGTTCGGACTGCTTTCGATGACTGCTTCCGAAGACCCCCCGATAGCGATGCTCGCAGTGACCAAGCCCTTCCACTTAACAGCAGCACTTGACGATGCTTCCAGCAGCTCCTAGATGTACCCATTCTACGATGAATCCAGATTGGTGGACTTCTCATATTGTTATTGTTGTTGTCGCGAAAGCGTTCGGTGTAGTTGTCAATATTGTGAGATTGGTATTTATGTTGCAGCCTCTCCGTTAAAATTTACAGGACGTCGTTTTGCGTCGTAAGTTTGGTGGCACGCACAGCACGAGGACGGGCGGCGATCAGGGCGGCGGGGTGGGAGAGCGCGAGGGATCCCAGCACGAGCGCGTTCTTGCCGCAGGACCCAACGGTTTTATTCCAGGTATCGTGTGGAGGACACCTGTCGGAAGTATAACCAACCGATGCATTTGTCTCCATTCCACTCATGTCTAGACGCCAAAAGCACATATTTAGCACAGATGGGCTTCGAGCGCATAGAGGGAGGGGTGTTGTGGAGGACACCTGTCGGAAGCATGCCCAACCATTTTGTGCAACCATACAAAATATCGGAAGATACGATCCATCGGGGTAACTTGCCATCGGGAGAGTGACAAGAAGCACATCGTTGGGATCTCTCTCTTCGATGTTCTCTGGCAGCTTGCCTAGAGTAGAGGCGGAGAGTCGACTCTCCTTCCTCTGTCCCCTGCTGGTCACTCTTTCTCTACCTCTCTCCTAGTTACATCTCGCGAGAGGAAATTAGCCACCCTTGGCAGCGGGAGAATATTGCAACGGCACAGGCCTCTGTCTCTGACGGTAGCCTGTGTCCTCAATCGCCATGAAAAAACTCCAGCCTTCTGTTCCTCTGTTGCTTTGTGCCATCCATGCACCTCTTGAATTTTGGTAGTTTGTATGTTTTAGCTAGGCAGCGTAGACTGATTGCATCAATTTTTGTACGAGCACGGCCGTGTATGCATATCTAGCCGGTTCCCGAATTATCGTGTCTGTTCACTTATTTGCACTCCCCGCGGCAGCCCGTACCATGGAAGTTTGAAGGGTCGCCAACGCGAGGCCTGGACCAGCAACCAGGCGATCCTATCATCGAGAACTTGCGAAGGGACCTGGGGCGGGTAAGTATGCATGACTCACAGTCTGTGCCAAGCGAACGGCAATAGAATTGGATTTTCTTCTCAGCTTGGCAATGAAAGGTGGACGCAAGCGACACATGTTTGTGATGATGATGGTGCGGAAGTGCATGGAAGTGCCAACATGGGATGCTTGAGACCGACCGGGCCAGGCAGTGGAATCATCAACCCCTTTGTGTTAGCAATCCAGCCATCTTTGATGGTTATTTAACGGTCCTCGAGCTTTGCCACAAAGACGCTCGCCGCATTCCCTCATCGTGAATATGGTGCGCTATCGCTCTGTTCTGCACAGACAAGAGACGCGGACATCCTGGATCAGGTTGTAAAATTGAGCAGCCATATATCGCGGAAGGAAGCGATGAGAAAACTCAGCCGAATGCGCAAGGACAAGGCTTTCAAAGAGTCCTTCACGAACAGTCTCCCGGTGTTCCTTCTGGTGCACCAGCTCCTCGCCGACTACAGGTTTGTGCCTCCCTCCCTCGGTAATTTACAGGAATCTTGCCCTGTCTGTCGGTGCAGCCGTGTGGTCTGGAAGAAATGTACCAGCGCTGGGACGGTACAGTACCTTGTAGCGTTCAGAGCTAGCGCGATTCTTTACGGGAAATCCGACCAGGTTTTGACGTTAACCCCCTCCACCCCCTCCACCCCTCCCTCCCCCTCCTTGCGGTTTGACGGGTGCCGCAATTTTGGTCGCACACAGCTTTTCACTGCCCATGCGACGATATATTTTCGAGCTCTTTGAACAGGTGGCACCAGGCAGCCTCAACTGGGAACCATACGTCGCATGAGCAACGTCTACCGCCTGTAGAGCTGTACCCATGACGTGGACTCCGGCCGTTAGTCTGTCATATCGCTTCTGTTGCGTGTGGTAGCAGCTTGGGATACAAGTTTATCTTGGGCTTGGCCTCATGTCGATCCCTTGCGTATTCCAAACAAACATGCTTCACCCGCGGAAGGTGAAAGGGTAATTCTGTATCATGGGCATCAAGCGCAAACCTTTAGTGTTGACTCCCTGTGTTGTGCAACGTAAAATGGTCTCCACTGACCTGTATCCTCTCTGAAGTCTGTATGTAGGATAAATGTTGCGAGAATTGTTGAGCACTTCTTCGTTTTCCCGTGAGCAAAGAAAGGCTAACTAAGTTTTGGAACGTCACGACCTGCTCTTCTTGAAACCGTAAACAATCTCACACCCTGTTTTTGGCCCATTCGATCTTTGACTCCGAGACGTTGAGGAAAGCTAAAAACCGCATCCAACGAAGTGTAAAGACTAGTGCAGACAGGTACTGGGTAGAGATCGGAACTGTTTTTATTGTGGAGATATGCATGACCACAACCAATTGGGGGTCCATGGTTGTGTGCGTGGCGGTGATTCCATGCGACCACGAATCGCTCTAAACTGCCTTTGGGACACGTGTGTGCCACACCGAACGCAGAACCGGGAAGATCGAGATCACATTACACCAGGCAGCACTTTTAGCTGCTGCTCACCTTCGCCCGTGCTCCAAACGAAGGTATTAGTCTACCAGCGATACACAACACGTTTTCGTTCAAGCCGGTTGGGTGCGACTTTTTATCAGGCTGCAGGGCGCGACTGATAGCTGACAGCACCTTTTGTTGGCGCAGGAGGATGCAGGAATAGCCAGGCCTCACACCGTGTGAGAAGGCTTAGGAATTGCTTCTGAGCTTTCCGCTACAGGACTTGCGTCTGAGCTTTCTGCTACATACTAGACCACGCGAGGCCGGCAAATGTCCGCAGACATGGGGACGAGCGTTAATAGTCTATACGGAAGCGCCTATTTACAATCCATGGATTGTCAGAGAGAACTACAGGCCAAATAGGCGCTTCCGTACTATATAAACTAGACACCACATCCCGTTCAATGTGGGAATATCTCGAACGGATAGTCTTTCTGTTTGTGTATTTATTTTTTCTAATATAGTGCTACGAGCAACCCTTGGAGCACACAGGAAACAGCAGTGGAGTGGATACATGATCAGTCTTTCTGTTTCTGTTTCTGTTTTATTTTCTTAATATCACACAACAAATCCATCTCTTTGGAATAATTCTAAGATAGATTAGCAATGAATCCATAGCGTGAGCGAAAGGCAACCTGTATTTCTACGGTTTACCAGACAGCATACAACGATGTCTCCCCTGTGGGTAACAGGCTCAACAAAGCAGTTTGGTAGCCATCTTGTGTATTCATCTGTATGTTATGTTGGGAAGTTGTAGACGGAAGATATAGGGGAACTCGGTTTGTCGGGTGTTCTATCATGGCACCCTCATGTGGTTGCGGAGCAAGCGCGTCTCGGGGTGTGTATATTTTCGTCAACATATTTTTGTGTGTGACGTATGGGGGCATGTGCGGCGCGGGAGAACATATTCACCTTGTTGTGTAATGTAATGGCATGTCGTTAAATGTGAGAAGGGCACGGGAGAACATTATCTCATCATTGCCTCCTGACGTGGCCGCCGATAGAGGCGTGTGGTTGGGGTTTCATCACTGACATGTGGGTGTGTGTGTGTTAAATGCAGTGGGTATGGTCGCCTCTCTCGCCCGTCTGTCGGCACAAGGTATAGCTACCTTTCCCATTAATTTGTAGGCAGCGCGGACCATAAGTAAAGACAGAGTGAGTGTATCATTTCATGCATCTACATCATTTGTATGTTGTTGTTGTTGTTGTTGTTGTTGTCTTCACTATTTAAAACCGTTCCGATCTCTATCTACCTAGTACCTTCGTATGTTCCTACTGATCCAGCACTCGACGCGGTCGAGTCCCGTGGTCGCAGGCTAACTTACCCTAAGAAGGTACACTCATAGAATTGCCCCGAGGGGTCCGCAAGTTAACAGAAATCAACGACAGATATGCTGGAGTCCTTCACTCCCTCTGCGCGCTATGCGAGGTAACAACTGAGACTAGGAGTCACCATCACGGGCCGGAGAGAGTGAGGTACACCCCCTTGGTTCAATCTTGGTACCTCACAACGCAAACAGAGACAAGGCCATCTGGCACAGAAAAAGAGAGAAAAAGAGAAAAAGAGAAGAAAAATATGTGGAAAGCATTCTAGCTCTAAGCTCTAAGCAGGTTTGACCGTGTATGGGTAAGGGGAGTTACTCCCCTTACCCATACACGGTCAAACCGGGGAGTACTCCTAAGGATCAGGATCAGGATCAGAATCGCCTACACTCCGAGAGAACCACTCGAACCGGCAAGAGAACTACCTCATAATTCCGCCGCGTCCCCTTCACCCCAGCTGACAGAATACGTACGTTTTCTACTCACATCTGTCGCTGGGGCGACGATGGCGCAATTTGATCCCAAGCTTATTGTCTGCCAGATAGTGGCGCTTCAAAGCTTCTACTATGTTGCGATGGGCGTCTTTCTCGGGAGCTTCAGGTGAAAAGCGGCAGCATTCGTGCGCTGCGAGACGGTAAAAGTTGGTTCAAAGTTTCCTCCAGCTGTACTTGTACCGCCCGTCGTGATGCCCAATGTATGCGTTTGATGCTCATCACTCTAATAGCGCGTTACCTCCTCTTGATGGCCAGGGCTGTTTTTGGGACACAGGTGGGGACACGATTGATATTCTCAGGGGAGCTCGTGTCGTTGTCGACCACAGCAGGATGGACAGCAATATGCTGTCAGGTTCTCACGGCGATATCAGGGTGAGTCTCGACCTGCGCAGGCAGGACACCAGTTCGTACAGAGGTCACGTGCGCGGGCGGAATGGCAGTAAAATACCAGGAGTTCGCCCTATGTGTAAGAGTGTCGCGCATTCGTGGTAGCATACTGTCTGTACAGCACCAGATGGCGTGTCTTGTTGCCAATGTTCAGGCGGCCGATCGAATCACCATAAGCTCAGCGAGCTGCATCCAGGGTTTGCTGTATCCCAGCAACCAAATCGTGATTGCCTCGAAGACAATGCCTTGAACACCTGGATATGACACCTTTTTCATTCATGAGATGCGATCTTCCCCCTTGCCCGGAGCTTGGGTGTTCTGCCCGAGCAATGGAGTTTTACTTGAGTCCGGAAGGAGGTCGCGGGACGAGCGGACTACAATACAGTACAGCAGCAGCAATCGAATACACTACAGCAGTCGGTACACATCTTGTTTCTCTCGATGCTGCAAACGCTTCTGCCCGCCGTTTACGGCAGTCTGTAGAAGTGAGGGAAAGGCCGCGTAGACGTACGGTCCGTGCACAACAATTTGTCCAATTACGTTTTGTGCGATAACTTCTTTTCGAGAAAGAATGGGAACGTAAAACAACGATAGTCGTGACCGCCTCGTCGAGATACGTCGATAGCTGCAGAGTTTTTTTAATTTCGGCGATATGCAAGATTTTTGGCGAAAATCATCCACGGAGCCCCCTAAACATGACATACCTCCCCCAAATTCATCCACGGAGCCCCCAACCTTCCCCCCGGGACGCCCACCGCCCTTCTCAGTGCCTGCGTTTGTACACTACGGACACCACATGATTGGATTTGTACAGATAGCACGAAGAAAAGTTGGTCGACGACACCCATAGGGAATGGCATACCATGCGGCCTGCTCGCTGTGGGCGCCTTCTCGCGAGATGCCTCCCTCGGATGGCGTGTGCTCTCATGGCGCTGGGCCTAGCAGTCCTCTCGCTCCCTCGAGTCCCCGGCCGGTACTTGGCGCGTGGTCCGTCGAAAACCCAGCGCCCGGAAGGGTGTGCGCCCCTCCCGATGACACTCCTCCGCCGCCCGCCGCGGTCGTACTCCCGGCAGGCGGTGCCCCGGGCACTAATCGGGACAAGGAGTCCATGATGCCCTCCAATTTCTCTTCAACCATCCTTTCCAGTCTGGTGCTGGCGTCGCCGACGGCGACATCGATGGCTGTCCGTAGCTCCTCATGGGTCGGACATGCCCCGCCTCCGCCAGAGTTACCCGATTCTTGCGAAGACATGTGTGTCCGTCACACTAGACTATGGCGTTAAAGGCCCAAACTCTAGAGTGTTGATCGGCCCCAAGCCTAGTGCTGCTGGATTAGCACGGCTGACCCGGTTGACAAACGTGGAGAGATGGTTAAGACGTTTTATTGGTTGCCTTCGTGGACACAACCCACGGGAGAGAGTGAGCACCAGGATGCATCACAAAAATCGAGGCACTCGTACAACAGCCGCAAGAAATTCCTCGTAGTAAAGACGCTTCGGAACTCGGAACACGCGACAGCGGAACACGTGACAACTTGTCAAAGATATGATCGGAGATACCCCGAAGATCCAAGAACGAGTAACAGCCACTACTTGCGCAATTATTGCATCTATCTCAACACACATGAGTGTCACCACAGCAGTAGCCTTCTTAAGGATGGCATAATCCACCTCACGAACAACTTGTCCCCTTGCTAGGCGGTGCAGTCCCTCCCTGTCACATCACTTCTTGAACTCTATCCTCGTCATGTCCCTTGGAATCCCAAACAGCAGCAGCTTCAACTTGTCTCCCTTCCACAGTTTCTGCTTCCATCCTCCCGGCTTCTTCACCATTCTCATGATAATTGTCCGAAGGCAAAAAAAAAAAAAATGGTGTTGTGATAGCTGTTGTGATGGCGTGATAGCCTAGAGGCGTGACAACCTGACCGCGTGATAACTGGTGGATATGTAGTATGGAGACGGGCGTGATAGCCCAGAGCGTGATAGCCGGGCAAAGGAAGATGAAAAATTATCCAAGGGCACGTGGCCAGCACCGTTGCAGACAGACACGTACGTACAGCTAGTATAGTCTACCCAGAAAACAACAATATGTGGCAAACATGGTACCACGATTCCCCCAATTTATCACAACTGCGGAACCCCCAAATTCCCCCGCTCCATCTGCTCGGAACGTTCCTTGATTGCAATAATCTGTCAATGCTGTGAGTACATCCAACAGCCCCCCTGCTCACTGCATTGTCAAAATTACTCCCGGACTTACTTACGTATCACGCAAAACCCATCCCGAACACTCCAGAAATCAATGTCAATGTACAAGAAGAAGAGTCGTACGGTCCGTGCACAACAATTTGTCCAACTACGTTTTGTGCGATAACTTCTTTTCGAGAAAGAATGGGAACGTGAAACAACGAAAGTCGTGACCGCCTCGTCGAGATACGTCGATAGCTGCAGAGTTTTTTTAATTTCGGCGATATGCAACATTTTTGGCGAAAATCATCCACGGAGCCCCCTAAACACGACATACCTCCCCCAAATTCATCCACGGAGCCCCCTAACCTTCCCCCCGGGACGCCCACCATCCTTCTCAGTGCCTGTTTTTGTACACTACGGACACCACATGATTGGATTTGTACAGATAGCACGAAGAAAAGTTGGTCGACGACACCCATAGGGAAAAATACCATCACTTCTATATAACTTTGACGAATCTCTGCACACACAAACGAAAATATTTATAAAGCAGTATTGTTTACTCCTGTATATTGCTAATACTCCGTATACAAGATCGGCACGAAGAAAGGGAAACAAGCACCAAGCACACAGCACAACAAACCTCGGCCAAGCTGTTAAGCAAAATTTTGTGCAGCACTAAAAGACACACATCACTACGCATCGTTCTCGGCCTCTTTTTCCTCTCCCTCCTGCTCCATGGCCCGCTTCTTCTCCTTTTCCTGCTTCCACTTCTTGAATGTCCTTCTCGCCCTCGTCCACGTCCATCAAAATCGCGCCATCATGGCCACCCGAGAGCGCACCGCCAGCGCCTGGAGATGGAAGATCATGTCGCTGCGTCGGCTTCGGTTTCTTCGAAACCGCTCCGCCATCGGCTCCGCGCGGGCCGAACGTCTTCTTCTTGGACCGTCCCTGAGGCTTCCCCATGGTGCTTGCGTGCGTCTTTCGTGTTTTCGGGCCGCCACGTGTGCGTGTTGTTGTTGTGTGTTTGTCTTGCCCAACGAAAAAATCTCCCATGGGGACGGCACAACAAAAAGTTGAATATCTCGGAAACCAAATTTTTCCCGACAAAAACCACAAATACCGACCTAGATATTGAGGAGAGGAATCGTTTGCCGCTGTTTATTTTGAAATCGGTCGGTTAGTTCTCCCCCGAAAAACAATACAAGTTAGCCCTCTAGATCCGGTTTTTCTCTGATATCTCCGTGAATTTACAATATTTTGACCAAAAAAAAAATACCGACCTGGCAAATCCCGACATCTGTTCAAATCCGTCGAGTTTTTTCGAATCGGCAAAGAACACACCCCTGCGAAAACAATTCAAGTTTTTCCGGTTTTGCGCCGATAAAAAGTCAAGAAAAAAAATAAAATAAATAACTCTCCGTCACGCGATGCGCCTGCAAACAGGGCGTTTTCCGGTACTTTCAGATTTCGGAACAACCACCTGTGGGCAGAGAAAAGTTGTCATTTGTGCTGGGAAAAATTTGGATTTTTTGGTGTGCACGGGCTATATGTAGCGCCCAGGTATCGTGTGGGGCAGGCGTTACCGATGATGGCCGATGGTGGTGTGCTTTGGGAGATGGGCGTAATTTTCCACATCGCCGCGTAGTTATCTGTACCGGTAGCGACATGTGTTGAAGCAGTAACCCCCCCACCCTGTACCACTGCTGTGCAGGGAGTCTTTACGCCCCCCCTACTTGGCTGGCCGTTTCACATCTTCCCGTAGCAGCCTCGAGCGCCTATCTTGCGTGCTACAACCCATTGAATAAGTAGCCCTCACTCCCCTCACGCTTGTGTGTCGTACTTTTGTGATGCAAGTAGTTCACAAAACACCCCATTGGCATTCACTGGATGGGTTGGAGTTATGACTCCCGCAGACCAGGCCGCTGTCTTTCTCACAGCAACCCTTAGGATGTCCACTTTGTGGTGAGGGTGGGCATGTTGCAGCAGAGGCTCTCTCTGAGGAGGAGAGGAGTTGTATTTTGCGGAAGCGTATGTATGAGAGACCGGGATGGACCCCATGCCAATGTATCGCCATGTGAACTCCATACACGTAGCGGTACACTCCCGCCCCCTTCAGTTTGCCTATGTCGTCGATGTCCATTCTTGGAGTGGTACTTGGAAGCATGTTCTGAATGACCTGTACATGCCTGCTCTTCGAGGTCGTTGTGGCCACAATCCCTGGCCGTTGCCACGAGATGTTCGCGTGTGCACTTCCCCGTGTATGCTGCTCCTGCAGGCATTGCTGCCAAACAACGTCGAACACATGGTGTTAGTACATTTATGCGCTTTATATGCATAGGTGTCTTGAGACCTATTACATTTTCCTATCGGTTGGCCACTTTGCGCAGACAACGATATAAAATGAATGAAACGATGTCCATACAAAAAATTCAATTCGGGAACCAGCCGTGGCAGGCGACCGCAATCTATACCCCAAGTATACAAGAAGCACGCACATGTGTACCTGTCCCGCGATTGGACCTAACTCAGGTCTTGGCTTGGTTTTTGGAATGGTGTACCGTATATAGGAGCCTGGGATTTACCGTCTCCAGTGTTGCTTAGTAAAGAATATGGTGCTTCACATCTTCAGATCAGAGTTCGGACGTTCGCACACAACAACCCTTTGCCGCGCTTCCTCTTTGTTTTCTGACCTGTTTTCGCCTGCAACACAGAGCACTTCTACTGCCTATGATCGTGGAGAGGGCCAAGAAATGCTTGGACTTCACTTCGACCCTGTACATAATACACTTAGCAATTTGCTCTTTTTATGACGGAATCCCCCACAACTGGGAATGGTGGATACTCCAGTTGGCGTCGTTGGCGCTGATGGTAGTCTTAGGTGAGGCCCGGTTGCGCTCCTCGTGGGGGTTATCAGTATTTTCGCGCACATCATGTGCCCGTAGCACAACAACGTTGACAGTTGTTGTTGGTAGGGACACGTCATAATTTTTTCATATTGCTGTACGAACCAAACCCACAATCGAAACCGTTTGAGAGTTTATCCAGGGATTCAACCAAATAAATACCCTGCGCTTGGTCCAACGCGTGTGATGTTGATCTCCCCCTTGACTTCACACCTACTCTTTCCTGTGGCATTGTTTCTCTTTTTGGATTCCAGGTGAATATGCTTGTTCCCGGCGGGAGTTGCGAGATATTCCTCTGTTCTCTCCGCTGCCAACTCAAGTATGACATGACGCGGCAGGGCTGCAAGTATGACTGAGCATTACTCTCGTTGCTGCTCAGGCAGAGCATCCTCTTGCTCCTACAAGGACTGCTGATGTTTTTGTTGGGTGAGGAGTCGAGACCACCAGCAAAACTTCTTCTTCGGTGATTGTTGTGGCTTGGAGGATACCGATACCTTGGGGTTGCTCTAAAGCTGTGAACAGAGTAGTGCTGCCCCTTTTCCCCGCCTTTTAGCCTACCGTTCATGTGCTTTGTGGGTGTAGTTCGTTCCGTTTCATGTCGACCTTGTGTTTGACCTCTTATGCCTGGGGAGAATGTTGAGGGTAAAGGGTGACGGGTGACGGGCTCGTGTTCTTCATGTGTTTGGAAGTACCCAAATGACTTCGCTTATTTAGGTTGTGTGCGCGTTCTATCTAGGTGGGAGCGGTATCGTGTAGATTCTGTCACCAGTGTTTTTTGTTGTTCTGCACGCGGCTAGCTGATGGCAACTCATGACGTCTCCACAACGATAGAGCGTAGATCCACTGATGAACCACGCTACATCTACGAAGTATCTCTGTCCTGCAGCTCGCCCAAGCGTTTGGAAGCGAGACGTTAATCTGCGATCGATGTTTTTTGTCAACAATCGAGCTGCTCTGCTCTCAAGAGAATGTTTTCCAGCGTGCAACCTTCCGCGATCTGTCCACTGCACACGGTGCTGTAGCACCCGTTGACTGAGACCAAATATTTACAGCGAGACCAGCACGTGCCGCGCACCTGATACGACAAGAGGCAAGGGTTACGGGGCGTGAGTTAACTGAAGAACATGGCCTTCGAGACCTGAGCATTAAGGTGTTAGGGTTGAAAGTTTTGAGTGCGTGCCAAAGTGCGTTGACGTATCCACAGGAGAAGCAATCACGTCTCCACTGCCGTAGGCATACAGGAGAACAACCTCGACCTCGTAGCACTTCGAAGGACACTCTTGACTCTTCCTGTACTCACCTTGGTTCTAATACAAGACGCCCTAAGAACACAAGGCCTGGTCCTCGTTTCCTCTGTGGTATGTACATGTAGCCCTCTCGATAGAGACTAAGCGACCGAAACGTATTGTTTATCGGTCTTTGTATCACACCCCAGTGCCATCTCTCCGACCGGTGCCGTCTCTCCGGCCGGTGCCATCTCTCCGGCCGGTCCCAACTCTCCGACTATTACGGCATGTCAAAAGTGTGTACCTTTCTTCCCATCGTACACCTTTTTCCCCTTTGGGGAGCGGCTTTGTACAATCAAATCCCCAATTGTTGTAAATAAGCGCTCCCATGCTTCCATACCTTTGGTTCTCTCGCCTTAGAATCGTATAATCGTAATCGTGTGTGGGTTTGATACAAGAGAAACAAACCAGAAACGGGTATACCAGGCAGTAGTGTGGATTATCACAATTTCAGGGTTTTGTTGTAAAACAAGGTACACTTGGAAATCATCACGACACCAATCTCCGACAGCATCCGCCGTAGATCGCGGCGAAACCAATAAACCGCTGTCTGTCCTGTGTCCTGTGCCTCAGAAGCATGATGCACGAGGCAGGTCCTGCCCGCTTTTCTTTCTCTCTGTGCCTCTCTCTCTCTGTGCTTTTACTGATCAGTACCACACCGTTACTCGCGGATCAAGCGAGTCCGGCCCTCTGTTGAGAAGGGCCGGTATGCTATGGAGGCGGTGTCCATGAACGATGAACGAACGAGCGTTGTTGGTGGTTTGGTTGTGGTTATGTATGTGCGGTGTATTCCGTCAGCGCGCGTTGTGGTGTACGCGGACTCAGGCAAATCCGTGGCCATGCTGAAGTATTCCTCCCCCTGAGGCCCCCAATCCACCTCCTGCGGTGCTTCCCTCAAAAGTGTACACAAGAACTGGCGCCACGACTAGGAGTGGCAGTGAGAGAAAAAACTCACTGTTCCTCTGGTAGATTCGTCGATTGGTTCTCTGGAGGTCTTACACTACTACTGTCCTGAGCGATTCTGAAGCCCCTTCAAGAGCGAAAGAAAGATTGTCTGACGAAGTAAGGGAAATCTGCGTTTTGTGAGAAGCGGCAGAAATAAACCTTGGCCAATCAGGAAGCAGGAAGCGGACGAGCGTGTTGGTTTTCTGTTTTAAGTTTATTCGCTTCGCTGTGTTTACCGGGGGCGAGCGAGAGCACGTGTGCGTGTGGTGGCCAAGGGTTGTTTTCTGCCGTGACGTTTCTTTGTGGCACGTGACGTTTCGTGGCGTGACGTATTGGACTGGAGAAGTTTCGCGTCTACGTTTCCCCTGTTTTCGGGGCGACATGGATTCGCATCCAAATCT